AGAACTTCAGGTCGAGGCATTCGGTGGACGGGCTACAGCTGCTTGGGGGCCACCTCCTGAGGGGCAGCGAACCGAGCAAAGCTAGACACTCACAAAAACCATTGGCGTACTCTGACACCTTCAGCCGCTTCGCCGCCTTCGCCTCGAACTTCTTCGACGGGAGGGCCTCTGGCCTCTCCAAGTCGGATGCGCTGACGGTCTCAGAGTGGCGCTTCCAAAGCGCCTGCAGCTCATTGCGATCTTTAGGGCTGAGCTGAGCTTTTCTTCATCGTTCCCATCATCAGGAACATCCTGTTCAGTAGTTTGTTGTAGGTTACGCGCAGCAGCTTGAGCAGTCCGAAGCGTCTGCCATTCACTGGAGGGACGCGGGACCGGCCAGCGAGTTTGCGCAGGTCATTGTCACCCGTGGTTTGGATAGTGGACAGGGCTTTTGGGTCGAAACGGGATGCGCCAATTTCAGCACCAGGAGCGCCAGGCACAGCATGAGCACTGGGGCCGTGGGTCAGGTTCACCATCAGTTCGATGTACTTCTCCACCTTCTGGGCCGCCTGATGCTGAGCGCTCCGTAGCGCGCGCTGCAGCAGCGGCAGCCCTCTTGTCGTCCTTGAATTGGTTCTCATTGAAGTTGCTCTGCTTGTCTTTGGCACTGTTGAGCCACTCTCTGGCCTTCTCAAGCTCGCTTGAGGCCGGTTGGAAAGCGCTCTCAGCCAGCGCCCTTTTCTCCCTTGCCTTCGCCAGGGCCTCCTGACGTCCACTGCGGGTTTGCCACGCCTGCCTCTCGGCCTTCGCAGCTGCCTCCACCTCCTTCGCCAAGGTGGTGGTCTCCACTGCCACCAGGGCGTCCAGCTCATCGCCTGTGGGGGGCGCAAGGGGCGGCTCGGGAGGAAGTGCATCAGCAAGAAGCCCTGGAAGTTCAGGAAACTGGGCGAGGGCAGCACGGGCTTGTTCAGCGAGTCTTTCAGGTACACTGCCGCCTGCTCCATCGCCGAGTCCTCCAGGAAGCTCATGTGGTTGCTCGAAACAGAGGTACGGGGACCCACATTTATTGCACCAGGTGTTGCCCCTATGGGCGTACCCCCTAGGTCGACACCTGCTGTACACGCTGTAGCTGTAAGATTTGGCAGAGGATCTCTGGGAGCCGCTGGACTTCCAGCTACCTCCACCTTGATCACGCAAAGAACGTTGGCCAGCACGCCATCCAGCTCTACTCCACTCGCGAGGCGCTATCGCATGCACCGCTGCGGGGTGAACGGAAGCTCCTCCAGGAGCTCACACAAGCAAAATGGCCACCATTGCTGGCCGCGCAAGGAGCAGGCCCCTTGAGCCAAAATGGCCACGGAGATGAGGAGGAGTCGGAGGAGGAGGAGGAGGAGGATGGGCAGGGGCCTTCCTTCTCCTTCTCCTTCTCCTTCTCCTTCTCCCGTGGGCCCTCTTCGTCGGCACGGTTGGGTTCCGCGTCGAAGGACATATTGGTCGAGCCGCGCTCCAGGAGAGGACGGGTGAGGTGCGTGGAGGCAGATCTTGGTGACGAGGACGTGATTGAAATCGCACTTGTTCAAGCTATCTTCTGCGTGACGCCCACTCACTGGCGCCCATGTGCTGTCAATTGAGTGAACCGCGCCCATCGATGCTCGCACTTGTTTAGTTGTCCAGAACTACCTGAAGGCGCTGGGCCTCCAAACTACAAAGGCAACAACGGCGCCCGCCCGGGACTCTCTATATTTTTTCTTCTTCGCCCAGTCATCGCGCTATGGCCTGAGGCGCCTTCGTTATGTGCCCAGGAGTCGCGCTCGCGCCTGTGACTTAATCATTTTTCACTTAGGATTAGTTCTCTCGCCTTTCAGTATTCACGTTCTCGCCATAGAATTCATCGTTGCCCACCTGCTGGAATGTCCCGCCTTCCCGACCCGTCCGTCATGGTTCGCCCGCCCGACCGCCTGTCAGTGTCCGCCCGCCCGACCCGCCCGTCAGGGTCCGCCCGTTCGCCTGTTTGGACGCCCGCCCTCCCGCTTTCATGTCACGCCCGCCTGACACACGCCAGGGTCCACCCACCCTGCCCCCCCATCTCGCCCCCCCTTGCCCCCGACGAGGTAGCCGCTTAAGTTCTTTAGCTTTGGTCCCCCCCTTTTTTCGGCGGTGAATAGGACTGGGCCTAAAACCTCCTCCTCCTCTTCCTCCTCCCTCCTCCTTCTCCTCCTCCTCCTCCTCCTCGTTGTCCTCGTCGTCGTTGTTGCGCGGCGGGTGCCGCGGAGCAGAATAATGAGTTACGCCCTATTGGCTGGACCCCAGTCCTCCAATAAGGTCGCTGGAAAAATCATTAGTGACCCCAGCTGGGGGGGTAAAGACCTTTCAGGGTTACGTTCGTGAGCTTCGAGAGCAGGTGCACAGGAGGCGGGGCCGCAGATGAGGGTCACAGCAGCTTGCCAGATCCCGTGCTCGTCAGATGAGTGCTCTCGTCGAGGAGGACGGCGAGGTGCAGGGCCCCTACGACCTCCCCTTCGGCCCCCCGTGTCACCTCCCCCCCGCCCGCCGTCGCGCTCCTCGGCCCCGCCTACGGCCGGACCGCACCGTTTTGTTTTCCCTCATGCCCCCGCCCCGCCCACCGCGATGATCCGTGCGGCAGGTTGGGGGGGGGGGGGGCGGGGGGCGACGGCTACACGGGCCGCCGGCCCTGAGCCCCTGCAGAGCCCATCGGCGGCACCCACGAGGCCGCCCCACTCGAAGCCGGCGCGCCCAGGCCGAAGGAGCTCGCCGCCCCGAGGCTCGGGCTCGGGCCGCCGCGGCCCCGCGCGCCCGAGGCTCGGGCCTGGCGTCCGTTTTTTTTTTGTTGTTGTTCTCTCTCTCTCTCCCTGGGAGCCGCGGTGCAGACGGTTGGGCGCGCGGGTGTCCTGGCACCCCGAAGCGGGCCGGCACTGGTGTGGTCTCCGGGCGTCTCCGGCGCCGCGACAACAAGAGTCGAGGCGGAGGTTTTTCACAGTCTTCGGTGCCTCGGGCCCCGTGCCGGGCTCCAGGGCCGTCGGAAGCGACTCGCGAGGAAAAACCGGCCCCAGAGAAATTGTCGAGAGGTCGGCGGCCCGTGCCTCAAACGAGTCGACGCGCCAGGTGTCTGGGCCTGGCGTGGCCCACGACACCCCCGCGGAGCTCCGATACCGTTGCTGCTCGTGCCGGCCTCCTCCTCCTCTTCTGTTGCCGGAGCGAGAGAGGAGCCTCCTGGCGCTCTGTGGCCACGGCAGTCGCGTGCTGCCCCGGCAGTGGCGGCCTCCCCCCTGTCGGCCGACGAGGTGGTGGCCGCCAGGGCGATTGCACGTCGTCCGACGGGCTCCGGAGGTCCAGGGGTCCAAACAGGTATGAGTTACGACATCATGTTGCAAGGCTGCACCACAAGAGGCATCGCTCGTGCTAGGTGAATCCAGAATTCAGAAACTTGCCCATGCCGGACGTGACTTCTCCGACCTTGCAAACCGTCGCAATGATGTGATGAGCGCCACCTCTGGGCAACATCCTTCTTTTCTGCCCGGCCTTTACACCTCGCAGACTTCACCCTACCCTCCCACCTCCGCACCACAAACTACCAACAACTTGGATCGCAAATCTTTGAAAGACTGCCGTCTCGGTGTGGTCGCCGCACGGGGCCATTCGCGTGGCAGATTACGTAGGATGACTGAGATCGTTGATCGAAGGGAGAGACAGATGGCGGAGAAGGAAGGGGGTCTAGGTCTAGATGACGGGGGTTCTAGAAGGAAGTGGCAGAGGCAGGACAACGGGCCTGACCGGCGTGCGCAACTGAGGCCCAGTGGTGTACATCTCCACCCTCTGTGGCAAGTTCATCCAGAGGAGATCGCCTTCGGGGCGGTGCGTCCTGGATCTTCATCTGACAACGTGCGATGGACGACGCAGACAGCGCTCTTCTGTGGGGGATGGTTCTGGGCAGCAGGCGAAGTGTAATCGTTTTGCGGCTCTTCAGCTGCCTCGTGCAAGTTTGAGGCTTCGTTTATTCCCGACCCCAGCTGGATCGAAGCTGTTGCTGGTGTACACTCGGGACGTTTGGCTTAGCGTGTCGCGCCGCCGGTTCTGGCTCACCGCGCTTTGGCGCGACACGCTAATCATTTTGCAGTCGCCAAGCGTCAACGTCCCGAGCCTTTCCGAGCATCCGGCCCCGCAGAGCGGAGCGACACGCTATCCGTTTGCGAGGCATAGCGTGTCGCATGGGCCGCCGCCGCGACACGCTATGCAAAAGTTCCCAACCGTAGTGTGTGGAGTCATTCACGGGGTGGCGACTTGGCATCGATGTGCACTTTTTGGTTCAGAAAGCGGCCGCGCGCGGGCCTCTGGCGGCGCACGCGCAAAAGTGGAACCTTTGGCTCCGCTGCCCCCTGCCCCCCCTCTATTCAAAGTTGGCCCCTTGGCATTCGAGAGCGCAGGCTCGACAGGACCAAAAACGCGCCCCCCCGGGGGCCCCCAGCGGGCTGGACGCCAACTTGGAGTCTGGGGGGGAAGAAGGGGGGCGAACACGGGGTCGAAAACGAAGGGGTTCTCCTTTTGTTCCCTCACTGCTCCCCCCGCTTTGGGATCCCTGGCCGACGCTGGCCAATGGGTGCGGGCCTGGGGGTGCGGTGCTGCCCCTGCTGCGGGACTGGCCTGCCGCTGGTGCTGAGCCAGCCAGGCGGGCTGCGGGGCCGCAGCCCGGCATCGGAGGCCCAGAGGTGGGCACCAACGCCAACATCGGCAGCGTGCCTCCACCGAGGGAAGAGGATCCCGATCTCGGCGATGGCGGTAAGACGTGGGGCCTTCCAAAAATGGGCCTTGCCTTATATGATCGGAGGAGTTGCCATCTCTTCCGGGGCGGAAGGCGGCAGAAGGGCGGCGGAAGGCGGCGGAAGTAACGCGAGGCGTCCTCTGCCGACGGAAGCCGGCGGAAGCTCGGTGGAAGCTGGCGGAAGCAAATGGCGACCTCCCAAGAGATGACAACATTTTTGGGTTCAGTGTTTCTGGAATCCGCCATGTGGGCATCCCAGGCGGCCGACAGATTACCACCGACACCGAAATTTAGGATAATCTTCCTGTGGAGGCATCCCCCTGTCTTGGTGTTGGCGCCCATTTCCAAGCCTCCAGCAGCAGGGCGCAAGGTCACTGTGGGTGCCAGCTGCAGCGTCGCTGGCGATGGTCGCGGCGCCAGCAGCGGCAGTAACTGCGACGGCAGAGGCCGAGGCGCACCTGCCTCTTCGTACCATCTCAAGTCGAGAGGCCGCAGCTTCTCGTCGGTCAGCAATCTGGGCGATCGGTCTCGCCTGGAGTGCCGCGCGGGGAAGATCGCCGTGTCTGGCCGCTATCACGAGCAGACCGTCCGGATCGAGGACGACTACGACATCCACGACGCGGTCTGTGGCGTTGGCCACGGCGGGCAGGTCCACGTAGCCACCAGGAGGGGCTTGCCGCGTGGGCGGCAGAGGTACGCCATCAAGGCGTTTGACATCGCCAACGCTTCGGAGAATTCACGAAAGCGGTGGGCAGAGGAGGTTGAAGTTTTTCTCTACATGGACCATCCGCACATCGCTCGTCTGTACGACGTGTACGACCACGGGGACAAGTTGTACCTCGCCATGGAGCTGATGGAGGGCGGCGAGTTGTTTGACCGGGTGGTGAAGCAGAGGGCCCTCGCGGAGCTGGAGGCAGTGGATAGCACCACGCAGATCCTTTGGGCCCTCAACTATCGAAGGCGCCTCTGGCAAGTCGCCGTGGCCCCCGCTGTTGGCCAAACGTCAGGCCATACTAGATGCGATTATCACGAGGCCCAGTGGCTTTCTATCATGCTTGGGCCCAGGCCTTCTCAGGCCCTCCTGGAGCCGCCCAGCGGCCTCACACAAAAGAGTAAAACAGCCCAGCGAGGGGCCCAGCCCTCTGCAACTGTGTGTACCCCAGGAGGGGGCCCTTTCCTTGTGGATGTGTCGAACCGATGAATGTGCCGAAACCGGCGCACCGAGGTCGTGCGCACACCCCCGCTGGAGCCGTAGTCGGCAGCCCCTACAGGGCACGAAACTCGCCGATGCCGTGCAAGCACAGACACCGGGGCAGCATTTGGAGCTCCGTATGGTAAACTTGACGTGTGAAGGTGGTCTGAATGGGGCGGGGTGGCGCCATGCAAGCACAGTCACTGGGCCGTAGTTGGAGCTCCCGATTGCGACGAAGCGTGTGAGCGGTGTGACTCGTGACGCCATGCGAGCTCGCCCGCTGGGGCCGTAGATGGAGCTGCCTTTCGTGCACGAAGCGTGTGAGAGGTGTCCCAAAGTGGGCGAGGTCACGCCACGTGGTCTCGCCCACTGGGGCTGCAGTTTGAGCCCCGTTTGGGGCCGTACTGTGAGGGGTCTGCTCAATTGGGCAAGGGTGCGCCATGCGGGCGCGCCCAGTGGGGACGGCCGCAGTGAGAGCTACCTGTGGGACACGAAGCGTGGAAAGGGTGCGTGATTCTTGCGTGAGGTGGCGCCATGCAGGCGCGCTCCCTGTGGCCGTGGTTGAAGCTCCCTATGGAGCACGAAGTGTGCGAGGGATGTGCCGAGTTAGGCAGGATGACGCCACGCGGGCGTGCCTAATGCGTCCGTAACTAGAGCTCCCTATGGGCCTATGGGGCACAAGGCTTGTAAGGAGTGTGCCAGCTTGTGCTGGGTGGCGCCGTGCGGGTGCGCCCACTAGGGCCATAGTTGAAGCCCCTGATGGGGAGCGAGGCTTGTGAGGCGTGTGTCTGATTGAGCGAGGTGGCGCCATGCGGGCTCGACCACGGAGGCCGTGGCTGAAGCTCTCTGTGGGGCACGAAGAATATGACAAATTGGGCGACGCGGCATGCGGGCGCACTCGATAGGGCCGCTGTTGGAGCTCCTTTTTGCGCGCACAGCCTTGGATTCGTGTGCCGCCATGACGGGGTGTCGCCATGTGGGCGCGCTCTTTGGCGCCGTAGTTGGAGCTCCATGCCGGGCACGAAGCGTGCGAGGGGTGTGCCCGATCGGGCGAGGTGGCGACATCTGCGTGCGCCCACTAAGGGCCCCTTGCAGGGCACGAAGCATGTGAGGGGCGTGCCCGGATGAGCGGCAGGCAACGCAGCAGCATCGGCTGGAAGACACGAGGGGGGGGGCGGGAGGAGGGAGGCGACGCTCGGCGTGGCGGAGAGGAGATGAGGGCTCAACCTCGCAGGAGCGTCGGGAAGAGCTTCGGAATCGTGAGGATTGAAAGCTGGGTGCTCGAAACAAGCCTTCGCCAGTCTCGTTCTTCCCTCTGCTTTCCCCGTGGCGTCGGGCGTGTTGATTTCGTGGCCCTCTCGTAGCAGCCGTCGAGAGCTCTCCTCGCTGGAGCCTTCTGGAGAACCGTGGCTTTGCGATCCCGTCGAAAGCGTCTAGGGACCTTCTCAGGAACCATTTGGTGTCGCTGTGCGACTCCATGAGAGGTAAGGAGGCCCTGGGAGGCCCCGGGAGGTTTTTGGGGGTGCTCAGAGCCCTTGGAAGCTCTTGGAGGCCTAGGAAAAGCCCTGGGTGATCCCAGCGAGGGTCTGGGAGGCCCTGTGAGCCCGTGGGAGCGAGGCCTTTCGGAGATCTGTCAGGCATTGGGAGGACTCACAAGCCCCTGGAAGAGCTTGGGCAGCTCCCAAGAGCGCGGAGCCTTATGATCTTGGTGATGCTGAGGGTGGTTGTGATGACGATGATGGTGATGCTGATGGTTCTGATGATGCTGCTGCTGATGATGATGATGACGATGGTAAGATGCTGCTGCTGCTGATGATGATGATGATGATGATGAGGAGGATGACGATGAAGCGGAGGAGGAGGAATATGATGTTGTTGTTGTTGTTGATGATGATGATGCTGGTGATGACGACGATGCTGCTGATTGTGATGCTGATAACGGTGACGATCACGATGCCGATGCCCATGACGACGATGACGATGATGATGCTGATGCCGATGATGATTCGATGATGTTGGCGGTGATGGTCGTGGTTGTGGTTGTGATGACGATGGTCATGCTGATGATTATGATGTTGGTGATGACGATGGTGGCGATGCTGATGATGATGCTGATGAAGCTGATGCTTATGCCGACAATGATGCTGGTGATGATGATTGTGGTGACGATGATGACGGTGACGATGATGATGACGATGATGATGATGAAGACGGTGTTGCTACTGATGATGTCGTTGGTGATGGAGATGCTGACGATGATGACGCTGCTGCTTGTGAATGTGCTGATGGTGATGGCGATGCTGCTGATGGTGATGCTGATAACGATGGCAATCACGATGACGATGACGATGATGATGATGGCGACGATGATGATGCCCTTGATGCCGATGCTGCTGCTGATGGTGGTGCTGGTAACGATGACGATGGCGATGACGACGACGATGACGACGATGATGACAATGATGCTGATGATGACGATACTAATGATACTGATGATGCAGAGGATGATGATGATGATGATGATGATGATGATGATGATGATGATGGTGATGCGGAGGATGATTAGATGCTGATGGTGATGTGGATGATGATGCTGATGCTGCTGATGATGATGATGATGATGACGGCGGTGGTCGTGGTTGTGGTGGTGCTGCTGGTGATACTGCAGATGGTGATGATAATGATGTTGGGCATGCTGATGATGACGATGATGATGATGATGACGATGGTGATGATGATGCTGATGATGTCGATGGTGATGCTGCTGATGATGATGGTGATGACGGTGGCTATGACGATGATGATGATGATGACGATGCTGATGATGACGATGATGATGCTGATGATGACGACGATTATGATGATCACGACGATGATGATGGTGACAATGACGATGATGCTGTTGACGATGACGATGACGGTGCTGCTGCTGCTTATATTGTTGATGATGGCGGTGATGATGCTGATGATGATGATGATGATGATGATGATGATGGAGATGGTGATGGTGATGGCGGTGGCGAATGTGCATTTGATTATGATGATGCTTGGTGATGGGGATGATGCTGCTGTTGCTGATGACGATGCTGATGAGGAGAAATACATGGTCATGCTTGGGGTGATGCTGATGATGATGCTGATGATGGTGCTGATGATGCTGATAATGATGATGATGCTGATGATGATGACGATGACGATGACGATGATGATGACGATGATGATGATGATGATGATGATGATGATGATGATGATGATGATGATGGTGGTGGTGGTGGTGGTGGTCGTGATGATTATGATGATGAAGATGACGGTGATGATACAGACTTCGGGCGGGCCAGTCGGGGGCGCGCTGCTCGACCGCTGACCGCCGCGGGCGCGCACCGTGTGCAGCCACTCGTGTCATGGGCAGCCGCTCGGGCGCCACAGGCTTCCCCGGGTCCCGCAGGGCGCGGGCCCTCCACATTGCCGACACCGCGGGGCTGCCTGCGGGGCTTCAGTGTCGCTTCGTGACCTGGGCCGTGGGCTCACCCTCGCCGGGACTGGGGTCTGCCCAGCGCTCCTCGCCATGGCCGTTCTCGAGGCAGCCCGTGGGCCTGGCCCAGCTCCGCCGCTGGGCGTCTCCACTTTCCAGGTGCTCCTCCCCGGTTGACTGGGCCGCGGGCCCACCCCGCCCAGGCTGGGAGTTGCCGAGCGCTCTTCGCCTTGGCCTCGCCGTGGGCAGGCGCGTTTCGCTGAGGCCGCGCGCCACCTTCGCTCAACGCCCCCTGGGGGCGGCCGCGCCTGATACCCATGGGGAGGGTCGGTGGTGTACCCTGCTCTCCGCTCGGCATCTCTGCCAGCGCTGCATGGCCCGTAGACCATCGTGCGCACCGCGCCGCGCCGTGGGTCAGGCTCGAGCCCGAGTTCGAGGCACGTGCTGCATCTGCCTGGCCTTGGCTGGACCTCCTCGAGCGTAGCCCCAGGCCGCCGCCGTCCGCCGAGTCCTGCAGCGGGCCCCCTTCCTGGCTGGGCCTTCTGCGAGCGACAGGGCCTCCTGGTCTCCCAGCTGGTGCCCCGTCGCTTGGTGCAGCCTCCTCTTGAGCCTCCCCAGGGCCGCGCCCACTCTCTCCCTGACGGGCTTCGTCAAGCCTGGTGCTGCACGCACTTCGCGCCGCCGCTGCTGTCGTGGAGGCCATCCTCCCCGCCCTTGCGGGAGGCTCCCCGTTCTGCCTGGCAGTGCGCGCGCCATCCTCGTCCATCACATGCCACACCGTTGCGCCAGTCTTGCCATCCAGCCCTCTTTCGGCCGTCCCCGCGCGCCCCGCGGCGAGAGCTGAGAAGCAGATGCCGTGTGGCTGCTCGTGCTTCATGGTCGTCTGTCTGGTTCGTGCTCCACAACTTACGCACGCACAAGCACCGACACACACACACACACACACCTAAACACACGCACACACGCGCTCACAGACCCGTACAAATCACACACACACACACCCACACCCACACCCACGCACACACATATTTCTTTGCCTCGGCGGCTAAGTAGAGTGACTGCGCTGGCGGATAGGGCATGTGTAGGGCATACATGTGCGAATTAAGCTGCAATGCAAGAGAAGGAAGAGACACACACGCCACACACACCCCTCCACACACACACACCCGCACAAGCACACAGACACACGCACATACGCACACGCACACATACAAACACATACACACATTTACAGACACGCACACACACACCCACACGCATAAGCACATGCGTGCGCATACATACGCCTACGCACACACAAGCACACACACACGTACACAGACACGCACACATGCACACACGAAGACAAGCACACACACAAGAAAGAGCACGCTCTCAAGCACAAACGCAAGCACAATGACAACACACAACTACAATCACACACAAACACATGCAATAACAAACACAACCACAATCACACATATACGAGATAGTGTCTGTATACTCGTCATGATGTCGAAGGACGAGGTGTGTGTTGGCTTGAGAGTGAGAGAGAGAGATAGAGAAAGAAAGAGAACGAGGGAGAGAAAGAGAGAGAGAGAGAGAGACAGAGAGAGAGATAAAAAGGAAGTGTGTGTGTGTGCATTCTTGGTGGCTGGGGGGGTGAGGTGGAGTGTGGCTGGGTGTGTGGGGTTGCAGCCCGCTTTGAGGAATGCGCATGAGGAGGATGATCTTGAGGGTTCTTGTTTGAGTATTCATGTGGTAATGCACCGACTGAATGTGCACCACCTGTTTCCCAAGCAAGTGTGCACGGGTGGTTTCCCGAAGCTGGTGGGGATGACCATGTATATGAAGATGCAGAGGGCGGGGGTGGGGATGAGGCTGTTGAGGATACCGGTGGTGATGCGGCGGATGAAGGCGTGCCAATAGTTTCCCGACGCTGTGGGTGGGAATGCACCGTATCCCTGAAACAACAATGATGCTGAGGACGGGATTGGATACAATGATAGTAAGGGTAATGATGTGATGGAGGTCGGACGCCCTCATGGTTTCTAAAGATTGTGGTGCAGTTGGGGAGTGCGAGCTCATCTGGGAAGCGAGAGCGAGAACATGCCGTATTGTGCGAAGGTCATGGTTTGGCCTTGTCTTGGGGCTTAATTTCAGGCTGCGTTTGTGGGGTCGGACGGGTAAGGCTACACAGGGATGCTGACACATGAGCATTCCCGAACAAACGTAGTGGAAGCATATAGCCAGGATCCCATACCATCCGCAGCCTGACTGTCCCAGTTAGGGGTCAGCGGTTCTCCACAGCCACAACGTGGTGCACCGTGACCTCAAGCTTGAGAACATCGTATTCGACAAGCAGGGCAGTAGCATACTGAAGTTGATAGATTTTGGATTTAGCAGGATTTGGGAGCCTGGCGTGAACATGGATGCGGAGCTTGGAACGCCAGGGTACATGGCGCCTGAGGTCTTAAGCGGCAGTTACACCAGCCAATGTGACCTCTGGAGCGTAGGGGTCATCGTTTTCACCATGCTGTCCGGCTACGCGCCCTTCCCCGGCACACGGGCCGAGCAGAAGACCAACGTCAAGTTAGGAAGGTTTCACATGTGTCCGAAGCGTTGGGCCAAGGTCTCACGGGATGCCCAGGAGTTCACCAAGAGTTTGCTGGTGGTGGATCCGTCCAGGCGCCTGAGTGCCCAGAGCGCGATGGACCACCCGTGGATATCCCGCAAGCGCGAGAAGATGAAGCTGGACTCGTCTGTGGTAAAGGCTCTAAGAGAGTTTGTACAGGCCTCCAAATTCCGTCGATGCTGCCTCGAGATGATCGCATGGACGTTGTCGAGTGAGGAGCGGGCAAAAGTGCTGCGCTACTTCCGGATGATGGATCAAAACAAGCAGGGCACTATCACATTGACGGAGCTGCAGACTGCGCTAAAGCACAAGTTCAAGGTTGACGATGCGGAAATCCAGCAAATCTTCAATACCATGGACACCAACAACGACCGGGAGATCCACTACTCGGACTTCCTGGCGGCCATGGTGAGCACTCACATAGACGTCGGCGACCACCACCTGCGCGTCGCGTTCACGAAGTTTGACGCCGACTGCTCGGGATATATCACGGCGGACAACCTGAGGGAGGTGCTCAGCGGAAACTCCAGGGGCGCGCGCTCCCTTGCACGCGCGCAACAGATCCACGCACGGGGTGGAGGAGGGCCCTTCTTCTCGCAGGATACAGTCAACGAGGAGGAGGAGGAGTGAGGAGGAATGGAACAGTCAAACAGGAGCAGTTGGAGGATGAGGACTCATCTCTCTTCCTTTCTCCTCCTCCTCCTTTTTGACGTTGGTCCTACATGCAGCGCGAGCTTGTTGCGTCGTGAAAAAGACGCAGTGCGAGGCCTCAAGGAATCCTGTAAAAAAACGCTGGGCTGGCACAATGACAAAAAGAAAGGCGTGAAGAGATGGATACAGCCCGTGGGCCCGCAAGGGCACAAATATGCGCCAGCCAGGCTCTGAAGTCCCTCTCTTTCGCACCCCCTCTCCTGCTCAGCTACCAAGTCAAGGTTGGCAGTACATAGCAACAAACCTGTGCAGCTACCTTCAGCCTCTGTTCATCTCATGCGCTGGTGCGCTCGAGCATACACCGCGACATCAAGGTGATGATCAAGATATTGTTTAGGAACTTGGTGAAGCATAGCTCTGGCGGTCAGCACGCACTCAGCGGTCGACTCGCACGTGCTCCTTCACCATCTGCCCTCCCCACAAATCACCTCCACCTCCGCCCGTAAGCCCGCACCGAAGGACACATAGCGAAGGGGCCAATGTTACGATACCCATGCCCTCACCGAGTGCATTCTCCTTAAACTGGTTCCTCACCGAGGGTAGAGCTGAACACAGAGAAAACGCAGAATAAAGGAAAACGCAAGAAGCCCCTACATAATCGCTGCCTGTCGGCTTCCTCCCACCAACTATGAACCTCAACAGCCGCCATCACCAACATCCCGAATTAAACATACCCAGCACTACCACAGAGTGTGTGCAGTCGATGTCGCCCCGTGGCTGTTCCGTGTTGCGCGCACGCAGGAGAATAAAACATTTCGCGTTGCATCTGAATCCAAAACGCTGCCTCCCCAAGAGATCACCTCCCCCCATAACATCCATCCTCGCACCTCCCCCTCTTCCGGCACAGCAGGCGAAAACTCGGGAATGGCAGATTGCCCTCACCACGACCAGTGGCAGAAGGAACGGCCTCCCATACGCGCAAATCAAATGAGAGATGCCATCTCCATGGTCTGCTCTGGTGGCCACGTGCCTCAAGGGCCCACCGCCACGGCCAGCAAAACGGAGGCGGAGCGACAAGCAGGGCTACTCAGCCGCTGTTCGTATTGGACGCCGTACGTGCACCGCAACAGCAAGGCGATCAGTCCACAACAAGCTGCAGAGGAAACAACCAAACACCGCAATGAATGTCGTCAACTCCTCCATCACCTCCGCATCCCAACCAACCCATCCTCCATGTCCCTCCTTACGTGTAGGGAACACAGCTGATGGCAGAAGGAAGCTGCTTCCCATGCGCACAATGAACTGAGAGATGACGACTCCATGGTCCATGGAGGTGGAGCGTACCGAGAAGCGGGGCTAACTCAGCCGCAGATCGTCTCGGAAAGCCGCTGCGCCGGAACATGCACACAACTTCAACGTTTTCGGTCCACAACAAGTTGCAAAAGAAGCAACCGGGTGCCCACAGTGAATGCCATCTCCGCCCCCATCCACTGTCTCCACATCTACACATCCAAACCTCCCCCTCTACGCCTCGGGCACCACGACTGGTGGCAAAGAGAAACGGCCTCCCAGACACGCTGTCAACTGTGAGCTGCCGACTCCATGGTCTGCCCTGGTAGCCACGTGCCCAGGGGGGCTCACCACGGTCAGGAAATGCAGGCGGAGCGGACCGAAAAGCGGGGCTAAACTCAGTCGCAGTTCGTGCCGGGCGCTGTTGCGCTAGAACACACACCGCAATACTAGGTGATCGGTCCCTCCTCCATCCCCTCATACTTCCTCGTACTCCATACCTTCCCCGCTACGCCTCGGGTAAAGCGAGTGGTGGCAGAAAGGCACGGCATCCCATGCATGCAAGTCATCTGAGAGATACCAACTCCATAATTTGTCTTGGTGGCCACGTGCCTCACGTGCCAGACAAATGGAGGCGGAACGGACCGAGTAGCGAGGCTGCATTCAGCTTCTGATTGTCTCGGGCGCCGCTGCTCGAGCATGCACCTCGACTTCAAGGTGAACGGTCCACCTGCAACTCCTCCTCTCTCTCATACCTCTTATCCCAGACCTCCCCCGCAACGCCTAGGGTACCACGACCTGTGGCAGAAATAAACGGACTCCCATGCACGCAGATCAACTGAGAGATGCAGGCCCCATCGTTTGTCTTGGTGGCCGCGGGCCCCACGCGCCAGAACATCATTGCGGCGGAGCGGACCGAAGACCGGGGCTAGGTACATGCAGCCTCTGATCGTCTTGGGCGACGCTGCGCTCGAGCATGCATCGCGACATCAACGTGAACGGTGCACGAGTACCTCCTTCCCCAGACCACCCCCGATACGCCTAGGGTATCACGACTGGTGGCAGAAAGAAACGGCCTCCCATGCACGCAAATCACCTGAGAGATGCAGGCCCCATAGTCTGCTTTGGTGGCCACGTGCCTCACGTGCCTACAAAATTGAGATGGAGCGGACCGAGGAACGGGGCTAGGTTCAGTCTCTGTTCGTCTCGTGCGCTGCTGCGCTCGAGCATACACCGCAACATCGAGGTGAACGGTCCACCTCCTCCTCCTCCTCCTCCTCCTCCTCCTCCTCCTCCTCCCGTCCTCCTCCTTCTCCTCCTCCTCCTCCTCCTCCTCCCTCCCCTCCCTGAGGGGCAGTCAATTATCCTCCTCCCTCCTCCCTTCTCCCTCCTCCCTCCCTCCTCCCTCCTCCTTGCTCTCTCCTGCAACCTCCCTCCTCCCTCCTCCCTCCTCATGGCTCCCTCCTCCCTCCTTGCTCCTCCTCCTCCTCCTCCTCCTCCTCCCTGCCATCCTCTCCATCTCCTCCTCCTGACTGTCCTCCCCAATATCCCTCCTTTCTTCTCGCAGGTGCTTGGCGACACCTTCGAGGGCGAGATGCCCGGGGCACTGCTGAGCGAGGCCGACCTGCTGCACGACGGGCGCGTGTCGTACCCAGAGTTCGCCGCCTTCTTGCGCGGGGACCCTCTCGAGGTCCACCTGGCTGCGCGTAGGAGTCACCCGTCCGTGGAGTGGCCTTCGGTGCGGGCCCACGGAGGGCTCTCCACGCAGTCGGCCCCCTCGAAGCCCCTCTGAAGTGGGGGACCGAGGTCACTCTTGCCCAGGGTCACTCCTACGTGTAGCCGATCCACCGCCAGAGTATGACCCCCAGACTTCTGACACCACGAAGGAAAAACAGCGACAGCCCGTCTGTTCACCCTTTTGGCCTCCCGAGGCCCGTTTCGGGCCTCAGGGCCATCAGCAAACGGCTCAGGATGAGGAGCTGGTCCCAGGGATGGGGTGGAGCTCCTAGGGCCCACGTCACGAACAACATCGTGACGTCGGATATCTGGGAAGTCGCATCCGCCGCCTCGGAGTCGCACATGGCTCGAGCTAAGCGGTGTTTTGGCGATTGCGTGGACTCTTTCGTTTTTGTTTCGTTTCGCAGCAAAGGCAGAAATGATACAGGACGAGGGAAAACGAAACCAAAACGAACACGATAAACATCTGCTTAGCTCTATACCAGGAGTCGTTCCCCTGAGGACGGGAGAGTATCCACATCGTGTGCAGGGGGGCGGGGTGAGGGGGGCGTTTTTTTTGTTGAAGGCAGGGGGCTTCTTAGACGCCTTTCCGCCTGCCAATGCATGCTGGTCGATGAAAGCAGGTACTTTCGGACCCCCAGATCCCAATCTACTTTAGCCGCCCTCCTACTTCAAGGGTCGAACGGTTTCCCGCTTCCCTCCTCTTCAGGGAGCGGGCGGAAGCCCAATCTACTTCCAACGCCTTCCTACTTCATGGTTCTACCTGCTTCTTCCGACCGATGGGTAAGCGTCATCAGAAGCCCCTGGCCCCTTCTCTTACCAGCCTGGGACATACCCCTATCCCTCTGCTCGGCATCGTATTATCTCACTGCCAGTCTTGGGGATCCCCTCGGTTTCTGAGGGCGCCTTCCCAAGATTGTGATTTCCTGTTGACTTGCCAATCTCGGGGGCGGGGGCACGTTCGAGGCTGGGGCTTCGGCTTCTCACAGGAGCCCCCTCGCCACGCATCCCCAGGCGCGCGCTTGCAGCATGTGGGCCGCTCCCATGCCCGGGGGGGGCTCCGGGAGCTGCGGATGTGGGCGTGTTTCCCGGCGGTTTTGCGAGGGGGCCGATGACGGCCTGGTGCTGCAGCGCTTCGACCAGGAGGGGACCTGGACCTTCCTCCTCACGCTGCTCCTCCACCTCCTCCTCCTCCTCCTCCGTCCTCCTCCTCCGTCCTCCTCCTCCTCCTCCTCCTGCTGCTGCTGCTGCTCCTCCTCCTCCTCCTTCTCCTCCTCCTCCTCCTCCTCCTCCTCCTCCTCCTCCTCCTCCTCCTCCTCCTCCCCCCTCTTCTTCCTCCCCCTCCTCCTCCTCCTCCTCCTCCTCCTCCTCCTCCTCCTCCCTCTTTTCCTTTTCCTCCTCCTCCTCCTCCTTCTCCACTTGTCCTCATCTTCCTCTCTTTCTCCTCCCCATTTCCCTCCGTAGCGATTGTGGCGCAAGACGGGTTTTCTTTTGTTTTGGTTCGTGCAAGCTTCTTCTTATTATTATTCTTCGCACCCACGTCTGTTGGTAAACTGAGGTCCCTCCAGTTCCTGCAGACATGTGGGTTCTTGCGGTGGTCGATGTTCATGATTCGTTATCTGGTTGCACTTGTCGGTTCCTGTGGCTTATCGTTACACTGTTCTAGTTTACAAATGGCTGCAATGGGAAGCGGCCGACCTCATCACGCCTTCTCTCAGACGCGTCCAGGTGGCAGTCGCTGGACAGGTTTCGAAGCGTTCGCTGCATCTTGGACTGCACGGTTTCTGCAAGACGTAAGTTTAATTAACCCTGGCAGGCTCGTTCCGAACGTGCCGACTTGGCTTCATCGGTATGTTTTCGCCTCGCTCTGCCGCGCTGCTTGGAAGGCGGGCGGCCGAGCTCATTCTCGATATAGTCGGGCGCTTCGGTTTTCACGCCTGCCGCTGCACCTCCTTGCCGACGAGGGCCTCGGCTCCCGAGCGTCTGCAGACTTGTCAACGTGTGCAAGCAGGTCGTTGAAGATAGGCGTTCCTGGATTTCCCGATCCCAATCTCATTCAGGCGCCTTCCTGCTTCGAGAATCGATTGTATGCTTTTGCTGTGTTTTGTTACTCTCTTGGGAGGGCCTGAAACCAATCTATTTTGTCCGCCTTCCCTGCCTACTTCATGGAACTACCCATTTCTTCCGACCGACGTGTATGTGTGATTCGCAGCTCCAGTCTCACGGAGCTCTTGTTTGGTGCATGAAAAGTACGATTCCGGTGATCGATAGCAAGCTCGACCAATTTTAGTCTTCCCCTGGGGGCGTCTCCGGCAAGGGGGAGCGCGAGTCCTCTTGGATGTGTCTGTGTGGGGCTATGGTTCCTTGGCAGGCTGGCAGCGTTTCTCCCCTCAGAGGCAATCTGGCGAGCTAGTGTGGAATACTGATGCCAAACTTGCCTCTTCCGTCGCCGCCGCCATCTCGGAGCTCGGGCTGCCCAGCATGCTCCGCGATATTGTTGAAGGCCTTACATCGGTTATTTCGGGCTCAGCGGTTCCTGGTCTCACGCACTGCGTGATGCCTATCCTGGAAGGCTGGCTTGTGACAATCATGTCGGCGGCGAGCGAGGGGGGGAGGTGAGAAGGAGAAGGCTTTCTCAGAAGGCGGCGCGACTTTTCAGAAGACACTGCGCCTTCCGATAAGTGTTCTGTGTCTTCGGGGGAGGCTTGGGCAACTTCTCAGAAGGCAGTGGGACTTCCGAGCCTTCTGAGAAGGCCCTCTCCTTCTCACTTCTCCCTGGGCTCGCCGCCGATTATGGGATTGATGTCAATCGGTGGGGAAACGGCTCGAGGGTGATACAGAAGACGCCTATGTCGAAGCACCGCCGCCACCCTGCCTTTGCAAGCGCCTGTGTGGCTGCACGTTACGACTCGAGCTCGGCCCAGCTGTCGGATTATGTGTTTCCCCAGCCGCTGTGGAAAGCCTTTGAGGACCACATGGGGGAGAAAGAAAAACAAGAGGAGAGGGAGGGAGGAGGAAGAAGGAGGAGGAGGAGGAGGAGAAGGACGAGGATGACTCTTTGGAGCGTCGGGGGCACTCTCTGGGCGTACTGGGCGCCTCCTAGGGGCCTTCTGGACGCCTCTTTGAGGCCTCCTTGGGCCTCTTGGGGACCTTTGAAAGCTCCTTGGGAGGCTCTTTGGCCGTCTGAAGGCGTTCCTAGCCTGTCTGACGTCGTCCGAAGCCGACTTGGGACCTTCTTGGAGAGCTCCAGGGCCGTCTTGGAGGCTATCTTAGGCGTCTTGGGGACCTCTTGGGCCGTCTCGAGACCCTCATTGGGCCGCCTCGGGGGCCTCTGGGGCCGTCATGGGGCCATTTGGGAGGCCTTCTAGGCGACTTTGGTACGATCTTAGGGGCTTCTTGGGCAGTCATGGGCCGTCGAATGCGCAAATGAGCAAGCGCTAACATTCTTCCAACACTCTAAGGAACATCACTGTCAGCCAGCGTGGGCCCCTACCATTGAGCTCTTGCATTGTGGATCTGTGAGCTATGAGGTGCAGCCGTGCTGTGTAAGCTGCGTGGTGCAAGCTATGTGGCGCAAGCTATGTGGTCCAAGCTAAGTGGCGCAAGCAATGCGATGCAAACCACGAGGTTCAAGCCATGTGGAGGTTCAAGCCATGTGGTGCAGTTTGCGTGGTGCAAGCTATTGTTGTGCAAGCTGCGTGGTGTAAGCTTTTTGGTTTCGCACTGACCACAGACGCCACCTCAATGCGAGGGGGCCCACGGTTCGGGCTCCCGCGGGAGCCCCACACGTCATTACTAGAAAGCAACGCCCAGCCAGCGCGAAACGCGCAGATATGTACGCCAAGCTCCATCTCATCAGGACGTCAACCTGCACAGATGCCAAGCAGTCATCAGGATCACCTGGCCCTCTTGGCCGCACGGGCCTCGCGAGCCTTGGCCAGCAGGTCGGGCCAGCGCTCCTCCCGCAGTCGCGCGTACTCTGCCCGCCCGCGCTCCAGCTCGCCCTGCAGCTTGTACAGCCTCCACTCCCGCCAGCGCTTGGCGATGAGCTTCGCCGCGAGCTGCCGCTCGTCCGCGCACGGCGGGAGCCATGAGCACCACCATGAGGGCCCATGCACGCGGCCCCCGCAGGGCCACGGCAGCATGCCCTTGTCGACGTACTCCTCCTCGCCGTCCTTCTCGCCCGCACTCGTGCCGCCGCCCTCGGAGGAGTCGCACTCGTCGTCCGCCGGGTCCGCGGCCTCCTCTTCGAGTGACATCTCGGCGCCCTCGCACGGCCCCTCGACCAGCGGCAGCAGCGTCGCGCCGCCCTGCACAAGCTCAACGACTTCCCAATCGAGCTCTTTGGCCCCTTGCTGCGTGCCCCACGTCTTCACCTGCACGCCCTGGGCCGCCACTTCACCGTGAACTCGGCCACCTAGTCGATGTTCCTGCCCACCAGCTCCTTGAAGCTTTTCCACCAGCGCGCGCCCGTCGCCAATGACGGCGCTGGCTTCTCGGCGGCGCGGCTCACGCGCTCCGCTAAGGCGGAACCGCAGCCCCGTCGGAGCGCTCCTCGCACGACGGCGCTCCGCCACCGTCCACTCCATTGGGCGGCCCTCCGCAGGCGCCCGTAGGGCTGGGCGACGACTCCTTGCCCTGCTCCGTGTGCCCTGCTTCTCCAGCACGTGCAGCTCCTCGGACTTCTCGCAATCCAGCTGCCTCTGCTCCTCATTGGCCCTCGCAACGGCCACCGCCAGCAGCACGTCGTCGCCGACATCGCCTGTCACCACCACGCCCGCTGCCGCCGCCCGCGGCCAGGTGCCGCCCTCGCCGTCGACCTCGAACACGGACTCGTCCACGTCGTCGTCGTCCCCGTTCCCCAGGGCGGCGAAGGGGCCGAGACGCTGGCTGCGCCTCTCGCAGGGCCGCGCGGGCGGCGCCTTGGCGCAGCGCCTCGGCACTCGCCCACGCCTCAGCCCCGCCGCCCGCCAGCTCGCCGAGCAGGACCTGCACTCCGCCCCGCATCTCGCACCCGGGCTCTTACTGCTGGGCCTCCCGCCGCAGCGCCTGCCCTGGCCCCTGCTCGGCCTCGGGCTCCGCCACCGCCGGCCGCACGAGGGCCAGGAGCTCCCGCCCTCGGCGCGCCCCAGCCACCGCGCTCATCGAGCTCAGCGCACTTGTGGACTCGCGGCCAGCACCCCGCAGGCCGACGCTCACCGGTGCAGGACCACCCCTAGCACCGCCGGCTGGGCCGCCCAGCAGGCCGCTCCGCAGCTGCACCAGTGCTCCCGGGAGGAAGGATCCCGGCGCCCGCGCACCCGCCCCGCCGCCCCCCCCCTCCCCCCCGGGAGGAGACCCGACGCGCGAGGGCGGCGCCAGTGAGCTAGACAGGCTTGAGCCAAAATGGGTACGGGCTGCGTGATGTAAGCTATGTGGTGCAAGCGATGTGGTGCAACCTGCGTGGTGCAAGCTATGTGGTGGCATATCCAATGGCCATGGGCCCATCCCGCCACCGTGGCAGGGTTTTGGGACATGGGCCTCTGGGATGTTCGTTGGGATGTCGTGGGGGGCCTCTCGGGGGCCTCTTGGATTCGGTTTGGGGGCTTCTCGGCGGCCGTTCTGGGGCCTCTGGGGGTTCTTGGGGGCCTCTTGGGGGTCTCTTGGGGCCTCTTAGGGGCCTCTTGGGGTCATCTGGAGGTATCTTCCGTAACCATTTTGGCTCAAGAGGCGTGCCTCCCGCGCGGGTCGGCCCTCGGACGGGTGCGCGCGCGGCGGGGGCCGCGCGTCCGCGGCTGCGCCCTCATGGTGCGCGGTGGCGGCGGGCGCAGTAGTGGCGGGCGTGTCTACACGGTCCGCCACGGTGCCTCCCTCACGACCGTCGGGACGCTGGGGGAAGCCGCCGAGCTCATGGCGCGCCTGCAGGCTGCGACGAGCGGAGCGGCCAGGCAGGAGCAGCAGGCGCCGACCGAGGCCGTGGCGCAGGGGCAGTTCTCTGTGGTGCGCTCTGCGCTCGGAGCGCGAGCGCAGCAGCTGCTGGGCGCCGCGGCCGAGATGGTGGCGCTTGTGGGTGGGCGCACGCTCGCGGCTGGCCTCCACACGGCCCGCCAGCGCGGGCGCCGTCTTCCTCCAGTGGTCGTGCGGCGGTGCAGGGAGCTAGACGCGGTCAGCGCGCTGCTCAGGCACCCGAACGACGAGGAGGGGGACAAGGTGGAGGACCTGCTGCGCCTCATCAAGGAGTGGCATGCGCACGCGGCGGAGCACGCCGAGGGCGAGGGCTCGGTCGCTGCGACGGCGGCGCCACTCAGCAGCGGCCTGTCCTCCGACGTGGGCGAGTGCGACTGGGAGCACTCCTCATGGTTGGAGGCGAAGGTCGTGGAGGAGGAGGCCGCCAAGGAGGAGCGCCAGGAGGCGGAGGTGACGGCGAGCCCTCTCGAGAGCAACCCCGCAACCGTACGCGGCGGGGGAGGTAGCTCGGCTGGGCAGGAGAGCACGACGGCTAGCTCTCGCCACACGGCGGGCGCGGCCTTGGACACGGAGCTCGACGACCTCGACGTCTTCTTCGACGGGCTGCTGGAGGAGCTTGGGTCGCTTGGGGGCCCGTCCACCGAGCAGCCGATGCGCGAGGAGGCGGGCCACGCGTCGCTGGGTGCGAGATTGGCGAACGAGGACGTGGCCAAGGAGGAGGGCAAGGAGAGAGAGGGGAGCGCCTTGACGGACATGGTCTGGGTCCCGAGGGCGCTCCCGCCTGACCCTGGAGAGGGCCACCTTTTCGGGGTATGGGGCGAGCCATCGGGCCAGGAGCAGGAGGATGCAGCCACGCTCATCGCGCGATGGTGGAGGGGATGCAGGCTTTCGCAGGCTCGATGGCAGGCACTCCAGGCGGAATACGACGCGCTGATGGCCGAGCTCATTGCTGCGAGGGCCGCATGCGGGTGAGGCAGGCGGGCCGGTGCTTCGCGGGCGTGCAGTGCAGCGAGGGTGCTGGGCCTCGGTTTCAGCACAGGCTGCAGGGCCACCAGGACGGGACGGCGTCGCTGAACTGGGGGCGCGGGGTCGGCGGCTTCGAGAAGTTGCTGAGGTGCAAGGTGCTTGCGCCTTGAGGCCGGGCCGCGCGGGGGCGGCGTCGGTTGTGCGTTCTCCTGGGGCTCCTGGGGGTTCGCGAGGCTCGTGGGGGCCTGTCGTGCCTCGGGGCGGGATCCGCTCGGGGCGTTGGGGAGAAAAAAAGTCATCTGGAGGTATCTTGGGGCGGCAAGCTCGAGCTGTCGGTTCGGGCCCCTCCTCTTGGGCCCCACTTGGGGCCGTCTTGGGGCTCTCTTGTGCCGCCTGGGGTGGGGCCATCTTCGGCCGTCTTGGGGCCCTCGTGAGGGCCTGTTGAGCCGTCTCGGGGCGATCTTGGGGGCATGTCGAAAAGGTTTCCCCTACGGATTTCGACGATGTTTGCCTCTTGGGGCCCTCTTGGGAGGTCTCTTGGGCCTCACTTGGGGCCTCTTGGGCGCCTCTTCAGCCGTCTTCAGGCCATCTTGGGCGTCTTGTACCGATCGTTCAGCGATACGGGGCCCTCTTTGACCGTCTTGGGGGCCTCTTGGGTGTCTCTTGGCCCATCTGTGGCCCCTCGTGGCCCCGAACATGCCATGCGGGAACATCCGGGTGAGCCCAGAGGCCACGCGGCAAGCCCCGGGTGATTTGAGAACTAGGGGCCAGGGCCCGCCCCTCAAACAATCTTCAGAATTGAGGACTGAGGCTTGAGGGATTAGGCCAAGGACTTATGTGGTGCAATCTGCGAGGTGTGAGTTATGTGGTGCGGCGGCGGACGGGAACAGGGCAGCTGGGTCTGCAGACGAGCTCTCTATGAGGATAAATGGGGCGGCGACGGACGGGAACGGGGCCGCCGGGCCCGCATACGGGCCTAGCTCCAGAAGAGATGTAAGGGCCTAGGTGCAAGCTCTGCTTGGCTGCACGGGCACACAGCTGTGGCCCGTCTGTCGTCGCTCGGCGCGCTGCGACGATCCCGCACTGGCGCGCGTCGGGGGCGTTGTTTGCCAATTCTGCAAGACTGAGGCCCGCTGCGTTCAAAACGCCGCGGGCGCCCTCGCCGCGAAGAGCCGGGCGCTCGGCGCCATCCGTGGCAACCGCCTGACATGCGCTCGCGTATGTCTGGACGCGGCTGCCGCTGGTGCCGTTTGCTTCGCCCTCCGTGTCACCGAGCTGGGCCACCGGCATTTCGAGCAATCAGGCCAAGCCGGCATCCAAGCAGGAACAGGCAACGCCGTAGACCACCTCTGGCCGGGACGCCCAGGTCGGGCGCATCGACTGGGACCACGATGAGGCAGCCCGCTCGGCCGTCGTGCGTGGCGGGGGTCGGCGGTCGCGGCCCCCCGTGGCCCGTCGCCCCGTGCTGCTTTCCGTGGCCCCACGCCCTGGCCCTCCTCGCCAAGAAGACGAGTGTTGTGTGCGCGCGCAGGGGGCTCGATCGAGCTCGTATGTACGTTGTCGCGCAGCGGGAGGTGCTGCTCGCGGTTCGGCACACGCGCCTCCGCTTACAGTGGCCGCGCGGACACGGTAGCCTTCCTTCTCGCGCGGCCATGCAGCGTTCAGACGGTTCGGTTCAGTCGCCCGCCTCCACCACATCTTGTCCCAGGTCCGGTAGATGTGATATTCCTTCGGTGTGGCGCCTTGACATCAAGTGGGTGCTCCAAGCCCTACGGGATCCACAGCAGCGCTTCTTCCTCGGGCGCGCTCCCACCGCCCGCGAAGGCCTAGGCCTGGCACGGTCTGGCCATGCGCGCGCCGCGCGGCTGCCGTGGGCCGAAGTCGCTGCCACCAGGGCCAGCGGTCCCTGCCGCAAAATTCTTGGCTGGCGGAGGCCGCGCCCAGCAAGAGGATTTTCTGCGCCGGGGTCTTGGTAGATCCATTGCCCCCCTCTTCCTCCTCCTTCTCTTCCTCCTCCTCCTCCTCCTCCTCCTCCTCCTCCTCCTCCTCCTCATCCTTATCATCCTTCTCCTCCTCCTCCTCCTCCTCCTCCTCCTCCTCCTCCTCCTCCTCCTCCTTCCTCCTTCCCTCCTCCTCCTTCCCTCCTCCTCCTCCTCCTCCTCCTCCTCCTCTTCCTCCTCCTCCTCCTCCTCCTCCTCCTCCTCCTCCTCCTCCTTCCCCTCTCTTCCTTCCTCTCCTCGCGCGTGGTTTTCTCTCTCTCTCTCTCTCTTTCTCTCTCTTCTTTCTCCTCTACGCTGCTTCTCCCCGACGCCTCCTTCCCCCGCCCCTGCCTCATCCCCAGCCTGCTCTCCCCCCCATCGCTCCCCCCCCCCCCCCCCCCCCCCCCCCCCCTCCTCCCGCCCCTCCATCCCCCACCCCCTCCCTCCCCTCCGCCTCCCCCCCGGTGCAGGCGGGAGGCTGGTCCCCGCTGGGGCGGCGGAGGCCGCGCAGGGCCTGGCCCAGGCGGGGGGGGGGCTGCAGCGGGATCGGACAAGCGGCCTGATGGGCCGTGGTGGCGCCTTGCGCGTGGCGTTTTTGTGCAGGCCCGCTGGTGCTGTTTGGCTGGCGCTGTCATCTTTCGCCGCAATCGGCGGCTCATCAGGCGCGGACCACTGGCTGGCTCTGGTCGTGCCCTCTGCCCGCAAGGAGCGAGGGAGGCCCGTCCTCTGGGCCCGCGGGGGGGGGGGTGCGTCGACAGGGCCGAGAGGGGAACGGACTGATCGAGAGCGGTGACCAACAGCAGTTCCCAGTCACCTGCGACATGGTTCGCTGTCGGCTCCAGGGCGATCGTGGTCAGTTTAGGCGAACGCCGTCTGTCCACCAGCAGCCGCTGCCCATTTCGGACAACGTTTGCTTCTGGGCTTTGTTCTCCCCTCCTGCGGATGCTGTCCCTCTCTCAGGCGTGCCCGGAGGGCCGTGCCTCCCCCTGGGCTGCTCTCCCCTTCCGGGCTGCTCGCCCCTGCCTCCCCGAGCGCTTTCGGCCCCTTCCCCGGGGGGCCGCTCTTCCATCCCAGATCCATCGTTTTGTCAGCGCCGGGCCCTCCAAAAGCGTGCTCCCCGAGGGGGGGAACTCGCGGGCCGCCCAACCAGGCTGGAGTAGATGGTGTCGAAGGATCGCCAATGCATCGGTGGTGGGACGCGGTCCGAGCCCGAGTCTATCCAACCCGGCGTCGCCGATCGGCTGGTCGGTGCGGGCCGTCGTTTCTTTTCATTAGACAGGGCAGAAGTCACCCAAACGGGGCTGGACCCGAAGGGTGGACAGAACAGAGGCCCGAGACGGACGGACTCTTGTTCTTTTTTGGTTTTCCCTTTCCTGGAAGATAGGGGAACACATAACAGTAAGCCTACTCCTGATGATCAGATGTCACCATAATGGACCCCAAACATTGTGTTCCTAGTAATCTCTGTTGTGCAAGATCTGTTGTGCAGTCGATGTGGTGCAGTCTAGGGTGCAATTTATTTGGTGCGATATGTGTGGTGCAATCTATGTGGTGCAATCGTTGTTCTTCAAACTATGTGGTGCTATGTATGTTTGTATGTATGTATGCATGTATGCATGTATGTATGTATGCACGTATCCATGTATGTATGTATGTACTTATGTAGGTAGAACTGTAGGTAAGTACGCATGCATGCATGCAGATATGCATGTATTCATGTATGCATGCAGGTATGTATGTATGTATGCATGCATGTTTGCAGTTATGCTTGTATGTAGGTAGGTGGGTAGGTCGGTAGGTAGGTGTGTATATATATATATATGTATACACTGGGAGTTGGGGGTGAGGAAATCGAAGTGACATGGAGAGTCCCCCACCCAGGAATTCGGTTTCGGTTTGGGGTTCGTGTCGTGCGTGCGGACGAGGCGAAGCTGCGTGGCCGGGCGAGAGGTATGACTTCGCTGTGGCCAGGGCGGGTTAGATAGGGCGGGTCAAGAGCTCTTGACCGCCCCTCCCCCCTCCCAGGTGCGCGTGCGGTGGCCGGGTTGCCCCGCCGTGGTATCCCGTCGCCGTCCGCCTCTCCCTCGCGGTGGGCGGGCGGTGGCCAGGTCGTCCCGCCGTGGTGTCGCGTCGGTTTCCCGTTGATGTTGTGTGGCTGCCCCGCCGGTGTCCCGTCGGTGTCCTGTGGTGAGATCGATATTGAGATCGATAGAGGCATATAGGCCGATAGTGAGATCGATAGTGAGATCGAGCGAGCGAGATCGATGGTAGGACCGATGGTGAGATCGATAGTGAGATCGAGCGTGAGATCGATTAGTGCCCCAATGATGTTCCGATGGTGTCCCGTCGGTATCGCGTCGGTGTCCGCGTCCCATCGGTGTCCCGCGGGTGTCCTGTGGTGTCTCATGGTAAGAACGATGGTGGGGTCGATGGTGAGACCGATAGTGAGTTCGATAGTGAGATCAGTAGTGAGAGCGATAGTGGGGTCGATAGTGAGATCGATTGGGCGAGATCAATAGTGAGATCGAACGAATGAGATCGATAGGGAGATCGAAAGTGAGATCGATTGATGTCCCGATGCTGTGCTGATGGTGTCCCGTCGGTGTCTCGCAGGTGTCTCGTCGGTGTCCCTTTGGTGTCCTGTCGGAGTTCTGTCACTCTTCCGTGGTGGGATCGATAGTGAGACCGATAGTGAGATCGACAGTGAGATCGATAAAGAGATCAAAATCACGAATGATATCTAGAGTGAGGTCAAACGTGATGTCGATCGAGTGGGAGCGATGGTGGGATCGATCGAGTGAGACCGGTAGCAAGATGCATGACATCGAGAATGAGATCAGTAGTGAGATCGATGGTGGCCTGATGGTGTCCTGATTCGTGCCCCTATTGGTGTCAAAATTGGTGTCCCGATTTGTGTCCTGATGGTGTCCTGGTGGTGCTTCGATGGTGTGTTGGTGGTGTCCTGGTGGTGTCCCGATAGGTGCCCCGAGTGGTGTTCCGATGGTGTCCCGATAGGTGCCCCGATGGATGTCCTGATGGTGTCCTGGTGGTGTTTCGATGGTGTCTCGATAGTGTCCTGGGGGTGTCCACATAGTGAGATTTTGTGGAGGGGGATCGCAGAGAACCCGATACGCCAAACGGTTTTCAATGTCAGCATCGCCGGCCACGGGATCGGCTGATATTGAGCGAATGATGTCCCGTCGGCGTCCCGATTGGTGTCCCGTTGGTGTCCCAATTGGTGTCCCTTCGGTGTCCCGATTGGTGTCCCGATCGTTTTCAGCACTACCACTGGTGCTGTCGCCGCCACGTTCATCACCAGTGCGGCCATCACCTTGCCATCAGCAGCCAGCCATCACACTTAGCACCAACCATCACAGCACAGTAGTGGTGGCATATGTTAGGCCTCGTGGTGCCCTGGTGGTGTCTCGATGGTGAGGTCGATCGAGTGGGATCGATAGTGGGACCACATCCCGACGCAGCATCGTCACCACGCGTCGTCGCCAACTTGAGGGCGCATCATCAGCATCGTCATCATCACCGCCATCTCAGTTGTCATCAGTTGGTTCTTTTCCCACCAACCTCCTTATCACCCGAAGGATGGTCGTATAGGTGTCTATATAGTATATGGTGCAACATGCGGTACAATTTATGTGGTACAATCCATGCGGTGCAATCTAGGTGGTGCAATCTGGGGCGTCGACAGGGCAGCAACGAGACGGCGACGGCGACCACGGAGCTGCCAGACCTGTACACAGGCCCACACGACGGGCGGCGACGAGGCGGCGACGGGGCGGCGACGGCGGCTACATAGCCGCCGGACCGCCACACAGGCCCAGTGGATTAGAAGAGAAGTGAGAATTCATAAATCCAGGATACTGCTTTGGAAAGTAAGGACAACTAATTATGCTAAAGTCGTAGGAATACGATTGAAAAGAAGAAGGCCGTGCGGCCTCCACCGCGCCTTCCGGGGGCGGCGCGAAGGGAGGGGACGTCGGCCAACCCTCCTTGGCCCGAGGTTGGATGGCCGGGGGTCGAGATTTTGCGTTCGTCTTGGACCTTCCAGGCCTCTGGAGCCCGCTTCCTGGTGCGTGCATCGGACCTCAATCCACATAGATTGCGTCGGAGGCCGCCTCCTCCTCCTCCTCCTCTTTATTCTTCCCTCCTCCTGTTTGCCTTCCCTTCGCTCCGCGCCGCACTGCCTGCCCCCCGCCGACAGGCCGAGCTTCAGCTGCGCGTGGGCCTCGCCCCTTGCCGCGAAGGCACCGGGCCTCTCGCCGGCGCAGTCGCCGACTAAGCCGAGGGAGCGGTGAGGCACTCGCCGTCGTCGTATCTCCGACTGCACGGTTTTGTCGTGATGCGGGCCCTCTGGGAGCTCTCAGCCTCATCCCCGCGGCCGGCCATTCTTGCCGCCGGGTCGCTTCTCTTGGCGGTCCTGTGGGCCGAAGGGGGACTCAAGATGCCCAACCCTGCAAAGAATGGCCGTCACGAATCTTTCGTGGCTCTGGAGGTCTGGGTCGCCGCCGAAGCACAGAGGCCTGACCTTGGAAGCATTGGCCGTCATGAGTAGGCGGCGCAGGGGGAGGAGGGAAGGCTTCTCAGAAGCACCCTTGCTTCTCAGAAGGCGCGGGCCTTCTCTGTAGATGGAGAGCCCGCGCCTTCTAAGAAGCCTCCTTCTAAGAGGCCTTCCCCCTCCGCCCCCCCCCCCCCTCTGCGCGCCGCCAACCCTGGCGGCCAGCGGCGAGGCGTCCTGGAGCGCCGTGCGCGTCTTCTGGGGGTGGGTCGCCCGCGCCGCGCCTCGCCGCGAGCGGGGCGCGAGCTGCGCGCCAGCGCGCCAGAATGGCGCGGGTGCAGTAACATCCGGTGCAATCAGTGTGGTGCAGTCTCTGCGGTGCATTCTGTGCGGTTCAGTCTATGCGGCGCTATCTTTGCGGGGCGGCGACGAGGGCGGCGACGGCGACAACATAGCCGCCAGACCGACCCGCAGGCCCAGTTCCCCTAGAGAAGCAAGTAAGATCCCCTGAGTGCAAGCACCGTGCGGCTTTCTTGGATCTGGGCTGGGCCCCGCTGGCGGCGCCTCTGGCGCGGCCCCTGGCGTGATCCGCGCGCCAGGGGAGGGGGGTCCTGCGCCGATCCAAGAAATCTGCGCGGACCTCCGACAGTTTCTGTTTATGCGGTTGCTTCTTCTTCTTCTTCCAGCACTGGGCTGCGCGCTTGGACTTGGCCCCCCCCCCCGCGGCCCTGCAGAGCCGCGCGCCAGAGGCCGTTCTTGACCAGGGCCGCTCTCGCGTGTGGCCGACCTGTACTGCACGAGGCGGCCCTGGCCCGGGGGGGGTGCCTCCAGGATTCCCAGACGAGCCCCCCGCGTCCCGCAGAGCACCCCTCATGAGGTCTGGGGGGGGCCTGGGGGACCAGGGGCTTCCGAAGGGTGCGAGCAGCTGGGGGCACCCTGGGCCAGCAGGCACCTTCGATAACCCCCCAGGGAGAAGATGGAGGACGACGAGGGTCAGAGTAACCGTTAAAGGTCTTCAGTTTGGGTTCGCCCCTCCCTTTTCTCTCGGCGGTGAATAGGACTGGTCCTAAAACCTCCTCATCCTTCTCCTTCTCCCTCCTCCCTCCTCCTCCATCCTCCGCCTCCTCGTCCTTCTTCGGAATGACACGCGGAACAATAATTTTGTCACCCCTAATCGTAAAACCCGAGTCCTTCAATGAGGCCGCCGAGAAAAAAACACAATTGCTTACCCCCTGTTGTGGGGGGGAGGTCCGAAGACCTTTCAGGGGTAAGCGCAGGACGCATCCACGATGCTGGAGCGCACCCTCCCGTCCAGTGCCTCCGCTTCACCGGTCACCGCGGGCAGCGCCCTGGAACGACCAGCGCCCCATGGGCGTGCCAGGCAGGCCGGAGCCCTCTGCCGAGAAGGAGCCGCCTCGCACGCTGTTTGCACTTATATGGTAGTGGCCTCTGGCCCGTGCCGCCGCGCCGGGCGCCACCGATGGTGTTCGGGCTCGCCTGGAGGCCCACGGGGCCGTCTTGGGGCCCTCGTGGGGCCGTCGCAGGAGGACAGGGCTCGTTTCGAATCCTCCGATTCGATTCGATTCGACTCCGATGGATTCCGATTCCGATTCGAGTCGATTTCGGATTCCGATTTGGGCTCCGATTTCTTACTGGACGCATACTTGCCTGCCGATTTCCGCCGATTCGACTTTTCCCGACTCGGCTGCCGATTTTTGCCGATCCGACTTATTTCGATCGCCGATCCGACTTATCGATTCGATTCTGGGCTCCCCTGGGAGGAGGCCTCTTGGGGCCCTAGTGGGCCCTCTTGGGCCCCTCCAGGGGCCCTCTTGGAGCCGTCGCAGGAGGAGGATTAGAACGGCCACGGTGTCGGAGAATTCAGCTCCAGGGAGATGTCAAGCGATATCCCCTTCTGAGAAGGAGCCGCTCTCCATCTGTGCAGCTGCTGCCTGGAAGACGAGTGTGCGCGGCGCCATGGCGAGCGCCACGCCCTGAAAGCGACCTCACATCCTGTGCAGCTGCCTGCTGCAAGCTTTGGGAGCGAATGCGCGCGACGTAAAAAAGGTGATGGCAACGTTTTGAAAACTGTATGCCATCCACCCGTAGGAAATTTTAAGCTTAGAAGGAAGACCTTTGAGCAGGAGGCTGCATGGCCCCCCGAGCAGTTTGTGCAGGATGTGCGGTCGAGCGCGAAGCGATGCAAAACGAGACGAGACAGTTCAGTACTGAGCAGTGTAGTGCAACGCAGTGCCGAGCAGTGAAAAATAATGCAGTCCAAAGCAATGCGAAACACTGCATACCAATCCATGGCGTAATTCGTGGCGCAACCTGGGGCCACCAAAAACTCCGCGTGGGTGCAAAGGGACTCTGAGGGCGGGGCCTTTCGGGTAACCCATGGCGCAACCCACTTATGGTTATCATTACCCCAGTACGACCCTACCCAGAAGTTGGAGCCCCTAGGAAAGCAGCATTAGTTGCTATGCTATGCTATGCTATGCCATGCTATGCTGCGCTATGCTATGCTATGCTGTGCGATGCTATGATATGCTACGATATGATATGCTAAGTCATGGTATGTCATGCTGCGCTGTGCTATGCTAAGCTATGATATGCTATGCTATGCTAAGCTGCGCTATGCTATGCTATGCTATGCGGCGCTATGCTATGCTATGCAATGCTATGATTGGCTATGTTATGCTATGCTATGCTATGTCAATGCAGCGCTGCGCTATGTTAAGCTGAGCTAAGCTAAGCTAAGCTAACCCTCTAGGCAGAGCCTAGGTAGGGAATTACACCCATGTTAATGCTTTGCTTTGCTTCGCTTTGCTTGTGGTTTGCTTTGCTGTCGCTGCTGGTGCGTTGCCTTTGCTTTGCTGCTATGCTATGCTCTGCTATGCTATGCTATGCTATGCTGCGCTGTGCTATGCTGTGCTGTGCTGTGCTGTGCTGCGCCATGCTACTTACCCGTTACGAAAGTTATTCATCTTGAGCACTGACGACTAGGGCGTCTCCGAGTGGCCCCCCCTTCCCCCCGTAGACTCCTAGCACGGCAGTCTTCGGCCTGGCTTGGCGGGAGAGATTTCCGGGGTTCTCCCTGGTAACATTAATAGTATATAACCAATTCAGGATAAAATCTCTCCCCCGTAAATTCACAAGGGAGAAATCACTCCCGGTCACTTCCAGGCAACTCTGAATCTCTCCCCGTGTGAAACCACAAGGAATAATCACTCCCATACCACTTCTCACCACAGCGCCCACACATGCCAATTTTAGCCAAGATGAATTAACTTTCGTAACGGGGATGTATGCTATGCTATTCTATGATGCGCTGGGCTATGCTATGCTGGACTATGCTATGATATGCTGTGCTGCGCCATGCTACGCTATGCTATGCTATGCTGTGCTCTGCTATGCTAAAGCTCAGCGAAGCTAAGACGAATGTAAGCTGAGCTAAGATAAACCTGAGCTAAGACGGAGCTAAGCTAAGTTAAGCTAAGATGAAATAAGCTAAGCTAAGAGGAGATAAGCAACGCTAAGCTAAGGGGACGTAACCGGGGGAACCGCGGGGCGGATACTGGGGGAACCGCCCGGGGTGCTTTCCACTGCCCGGCCCCTTTAAGCTCAGAGAGTAAGAACCTTTCTAGGCAGAGCCTAGGTCGGGAAAAACCCCTTCTGGGCGCAAGGACTCCGTCTGCGTGACCCATGGAGCGACTGATGGCCGTCAAACACGTGCGGCGTCAAGCCATTTCTCTCAGGCAAAAGCAAGGCCCCCTAAGTGCAAGTACAGACGATTCGACAACCGTTTCTCCAGGACGCAGTCCTGACTGTTCGAAGTATGTAAGACATCTGGGGGATGATGCGGACGAGGAGTCGTCTGCACTCTGGACTCCCAGCGGGCGCTCGCTGCCCGCCGCATTAGATGTGGGTGGCGACTCGAGTCGTGGCCAGGGCTGTAACTTCCAAAGGGTACACGGGGCCATAGCCCTGGGGCTGCGACGGCACCTTGCTCTCGTTTGCTTGACCCGCGAGCCCAATTGTTTGCATGTCGTTCGTGCGCAGATCCATAGGCAATGCGTGTTTTTTTTTTCTGCCGTGGCAAGCGGTGGGGCCACGGATGCAATACCTACCTTGTGCAGAAATCGTGTCCATCTGCATAGCAGGTTTTCTCCCGTACGCCTCTCTCTCTGTATCTCTTTAGCCCTCTCTCTATTTTTTCCAGAAATATGTTACGCACGTATTTGCTTCGCGATGCCACTCGTGCTGGGCGACCTAAGGGATCTCATATGTGCACAGCTGAAACGGCACCGATCACGCGCTCTCTTCCTCTTCCGATGCGCCGAATGTGTACGGATTCCTATATACATCTTATCTACGCGTACACATGCACATACATCTGTACTGCACGCACATATACACATGATTATTTATATTCACGCATACGTACACACATACTATCCATCCATCTTTCTCCCTCTGTCTTCCCTCTCTCTGACCCCCCCGCTCTACCTTTACCTCTCTACATGGATCTCGTGCATGTTGACCTCGTCGTCCTCTTCTTGTTCCTTCCCCTGCATGTCCTTCTCGCGGCGGGCGCCTCCTTGTGCATGATGCCCTTATTATCCTCGACCGTCTCGATCTCCTTCTTGACTTCTGTGCGCAGGGTCGTTCGTATGCAGGGCCGTCTCGGGAGAGACTAGGCCTCGGGATGAGGCTAAGCGGCCAGCGACATCACAAGACCGTTTTGATACCTGCGGCGGGAGCTGCTGCTCAGATCGGAGCACTGTGCCGTTTCGAATGTGAGCAGGGGGCGTTGTTCGATTCCATGCTGCGCTTCGGCTCCTGCGCCGGTAAGCGAATGCACTAACGTACAGTGTATTTGCACGCTTGCACCCCTTGGACTTCTGAGCCGGGTCCCTGCGAGTCATGGGCTTTCCTCCCTGGTCCTTTGTACTATTTTACCGTTCGCCCCTCCCTCCTCCCCATACAGTTGAGGGCACGCATCAAGAAACCACATGTCTATCGTCAGGGTATCCTGAGTTCCTTTGCTCCGCGAGCTGCGCGGTGACTCCCCGCAGTCGTTGAAGAAGCTGCTGTGTTCAGGGTGTTCTGGGCTTCCCCTCAGGTGCACCTCGCGCGCGGGTTTTCAGGGCTGGGTTTCTTGCGAGGGTCTGTTGCGGCCGCTCCTGCACTGTATGCTTTTCCTTCTCTTCCGCCTGCCTCTCCCCCCCTTCCCTCCCTTCTGGCATCCGTCGGCTGCTCCGCCCCTCCGCGCCCCTGACGCCCCTCTCACCCGCCCGCCCCCTGCCCACGAGCGCGCCCCGCGGGGCCTGGCGGCTTACGCCCCGCTGGAGGTGCCCTCCGCCGACCCCCCCCACCCCTCCTGCGGGTCCCAAGAAGATGCGCCACCGCCTCCATTCCCCCTCCCTCCTCCAGCCTCCTCCCCTCCTCCTTCGTGGGAAAGGGGACGAGGGAGGTGATGGTGGTTTATATGTTTGGGCCCCGTACCTCGGCGCTCGCCGCCTTCCTGCTCGCCGCCTTCCTTTTTTCTCCTGTTCCCCTCCTTCCGTCGCCCTCTCATCCGCCGAATCCGCGCGCACTGCTGAGCGAGTGTCGCCCGCGCCCCCCCCCCTCCCTCTCCCTCGACGCAGGGCTGGCCGAGCGTCTGCTGCTGCCTTGCCTCTCCCTTCCTTGTCCTTGTCTTCTATGCCTCGCAGCCGCACGTAGCGGTTCCGAGGAGCCCTGGGGGCGAAGTTGCCACCGATTGCCCATTTTCTTTGTTCTTGCGCCTTCCTGGTCTCCTCGCCAGTCGGTCCATCTTTCTTCAGTGCAGTGGGCAATCCCCCTCCATCGGTTGAAGTCAGCGCGCATCATTGGTACACTCAGGGTCTACTCATGTCCTCTGTTTCTTAGGCAGGCTGTCGTGCGCGCACACCCGCAGCATCCGTGAGGACATGATCTCGGTCCTCTGTTGCCACCTTCCCTCCCATCCCCCCTCCCTCTCTCCCTCGTCCCCCGCTCACCCGAAGGGCTGCCCTGACTCTGCTCTGGCTCCTGCCGCAGCAGCCGAGGCTGGGCCCTCTGCCCAGCGCGGACGGGCGGGGTCCTGCGTGCTGGCCGCCTCTCCCGAGCCCCCGCGCGCCTCCCCCCCCCGTGGCTCGTCGCCGCCGCCCAGCCCGCAGGAACGGCGTGTCCGTGACCTCCGTCATCAGCGCTCGGCCGCTGGACCTCTTCAAGCGGCACCCCGACAGATTCCTCATCGTGGGCGCCGGCAACGTCACCACGAAGAAGTTGGAGGGGACGCCGGAGGCGCCAGGGAACGCCTGTGCCTGCTCCCGGCTTTCGTTGCCGCTTCTCCTCTTCGACGTCGTCGTCGTCGCCATCCATCCTTTGCCCTTCATATGCGTATATATATAGACATATACATATATGTATACACATAGGTGTGTATATATATGTATATATACATGCTACCCCCCCTTAGGGACCTACCGTTTTTGTTTCTTTCTGGTTGCCGTACCGTAAACCCGCCGCTGCTGAGATCCCGATGGCAGCCGAACAGGATTCTAAACATATTCCAATATGATTTAAACAGGTTCGATGAGCTGGATATGCCTTTTAGGCTTGATCGGAATAACACTATGACCCACATGATAACTAATAACACTGAACCGTTAATGAGATCGCACGGTGTTTTTTATCAACTACGTATGACACACGCGACTCGATCATTTGTTGTGTGCGGTGTCCGCACTGCTTCGCTACGGAGTGCCCTTCTGGCCGCCGAAGGAAAAAGTGCGTTCGTGCGTGTGCGTGCGTGCGTTTGTGCGCGTGCGCTGATTGTAGAAACCCTGGCGGCCAAGATGGACGGGCGTGCCCTCTGTCTCGTTTGGCCGAACGAATCAAAGATCTCGCGGGCGGGGAGGGGGCGCATCGGATCCAACGCGACGATGAGAGAGGGGCGGGGGGGATAGCAAAGAAGAACATAATATTGTGGATCAGGAGAAAGAAAGAGTATGCTACTACCCGTTGAGCATTGCGCTCGAAGCAGGCGTCGCGCCTCAATGGGTAAATTAGGCACTACGCCCACGTGAAGAGCATTACGCCCAAAGAAAATCAGCATTACGCTGAAGAAAGCAGGCGTTGCGCCTTAATCGCGCCCCTGGGCATTACGCCCCTGTGAAGAGCATTACGCCCAGCGTTTTAGAGTATTACACTCATCCTCCTAGAGCCTTGCGCTCTTCTCCCCTACTGCTAAGAGCAAGGGCATTACGCCCTGCTGTGGCTCCTCCCCTATCATCCTCATCCTAAACAGGCATTGCGCCTTTGACTACACCCTGGGTATTACACCCGTTTGAAGAGCATTGCGCTCTGATCTATTTGAGTATATCACTCCAAAGTAGTGCGCCCTGCTGGTTATCCTCCTGTCGTAGCCTCTCCTCCATCAGCCCGCGCGCGGGTGGCCTGCCTGTGGGCGGTGGCGGGCGGGGGTGGGGGGATCCTCCTCCTCCTTATCCTCCTGCTCCTCCTCCTCCTCCTCCTCCTCCTCCTCCTCCTCTGCCTCCTAGTCGTCACTCCCATACAATAACTAAAGAGGAGGCTCCCGCCTGATAGATCCCAACGATAACTGAAGAGGAGGCTCCTGCCTGAGAGATTCCCCAAACAACTCTCTGATGAGGAGGCTCCGGCCAGAGAGGTTACTACGGCGAGGGCATTGGATAAGGAATCATTGGATAAGACATCCAGGGTTTGGAAGCCGGCGGAGCTCCAATTGTGGATGGGCCGTGGATGTCGCCACCGCCCTCATCGGATGAGGAATCCCCCAAGGTCTGATGCCTCCTGAGCACATTCCTTAACCAACGCCCCCGACGTAATCACAGTCTCTGAGGGGGCAACTTCGCTGGAAAGGTCCAACAACAAATAACAAACTGCTCCTCCTTGTCCTCCTCCATCCTCTCGACTGGACTTCGTCCTGGGACTCCTGACTCCTGACTCCTCCTCCCTCTCTCTCCTCCTCCTCCTCCTCCTCCTGCTGCTGCTCCTCCTCCTTCACATAATGATCGTAACTCTCCTCATCATCATCGTCAACATCATCATCATCATAATCATCATAATCATCATCATGTTCGTAATCCTCATCATCATCACCATCGTCATCATCACCATCACCAACATCAGCATCAGCATCATCATCAACACAATCAGCATCACCATAGTCATCAGCAACATCAGCATCATCAGCAGTACCATCTTCATATTCATCTTCTCCGTCATCATCACCATAATGTTCGTCAACCTCGTCTTCGCCATGTCCATGAGGGTCTTGCATGAGAGGTCCCCAAAACATGTGAGGAGGAAGAGGCTCCCGCCTGAGAGGTCCCCAACAAACGTCAGGATGAAGAGGCTCCCGCCTGAGAGGTCCCAAAAAAACGCGAGGAGGAAGAGGCTCCCGCCTGAGAGGTCCCAAAACAACGTGGGGAGGAAGAGGCTACCGCCTGAGAGGTCCCCAAAAAACGCGCAGAGGAAGATGCTCCCGCCTGAGAGGTCCCAAAAAAGTTCTCTTGGGAGGAGGCTACCGCCTGAGAGGTCCCCCCCCCCCCCAAAAAAAAAAGAGGAGGCTCCCGCCTGAGAGGTCCCCCAAAAACCTAAAGAAACCCAAACACCATGCCTCTCATCCTTGTAAATGTCCCCAAAAAACAACAAAACAAAAACCCAAAGTTCCAGAGGAGATGGCGGCCCTCGTCAATGTATCTGGGGCAGCGACGTCCGTTCTCCTCTGGAACTTTTTTGTTTTTTGGGGACAGTTACAAGGATGAGATGCATGGTGTTTGGGTTTCTTTGGGTTTTTAGGGGACCTCTCGGGCGGGAGCCTCCTCCTGTTTGGTTTTTTTGGGGACCTCTCAGGCGGAAGCATCCTCCCAAGAGGGTTTTGTTGGGACCTCTCAGGCGGGAGCCTCCATTTGACACTGTTTTTTGGGGACCTCTCAGGCGGGAGCTTCTTCCTCCTCACGTTTCTTTGGGACCTCTCAGGCGGGAGCCTCTTCCTCTTCGCGTTTTTTGGGAACCTCCCAGGCGGGAGCCTCTTCCTCCTCACGTCGTTTTGGGACCTCTCAGGCGGGAGCCTCTTCCCCTTCGCGTTTTTTTGGGACCTCTCAGGCGGTAGCCTCTTCCTCTTCACGTTTTTGGGGGCCTCTCAGGCGGGAGCCTCTTCCTCTTCGCGTTTTTTTGGGGACCTCTCAGGCGAGAGCCGAGTCCTCTCACGCTTCTTCTCCCCATCCTCCTCCTCCTCCTCCTCCTCCTCCTCCTCCGCCTCCTCCTCATCAACTTCCTTTTGTGTCTACGTCTTCGCATGCATGGACGACAAAGGAGAAGCAAATACGGAATGCGACGACAGTGAGGTAGGTCCCCAAGGGGGGGTACCATATATATATATATATATATATATATATATATACATACATATATATATGTGTGTGTGGCTCCTCCCAGCCGCACCCCCAGACGTGTCGGTAAGGCGGGCGTGTCGTTTCGCTGGAGATGTCGTCACTGGTTATGGTGCCGAAGCTCGGACCCTGCAGCAGTTTCACAGATTGAGGGCGGGCGGTTTCAGAATGGAGCTCTCGCCTCAGCAGCGCGCGCATTCGTTTCAACCGTTTGGAATAGTTTCGGGGATGGACGACGCTTCCTTTTCAAAGCGGGGGTCCCAAACCAGCGCCGCGCGCACTCGTCTCACAAGTTTGCAGCGGCTGCCAGGGTGGAGGGGGGGGGGGTCGTTCTCAAGTGTGGCTCCCGCCCCAGCGCCGCGCACATCCGTCGTAACAGTTTGCAGAGTGTCAGGGATGGATTTTCAAAATGTGGCCCTCGCCCTTGGCGCCGCGCACATCTGTTGCACAGTATTGCAACGGCTTTGCGGATGGAAGGGCGGGCCGTTTTCACATTGGGGCTCTCGCTTGAGCGTCGCGAGCAATCGTTACGCAATCTGGCAACAGCTTTCGAAAATTGATCGCTGGTCGTTTTCTAGAATGGGGTTGTCGCCTCAGCACCGCACGCACTTGTTTTCGAATGCGACGCTTAGCAGGTTTGATGACTGCTCGTTTTCAAAATGGAGCTCTCGCGCGAGACTTCGTTAATACACAAACCCGAAGCTTCAACGAATGAAGCGCTGCGCGGATCCAGGGCGGCTCTTTTTCAGCATCGAGTTGTCGGTCGAGGTTCTCTCGACGTTTATGGCCACAAGAGTAATCTGCGCAGCAGTTACACGGGTGGGTGGAGGCGATCTTGCGTCGAAAGGAGGATATATTTGGACACATCGCTGAAATGTGTGACAATACTTTTTCCGCGCTCCCATCTACGCGCCAGGCATAATATGCAAGGCACATCCTTTCAAAGCAGAGCCCTCGCCACAATGGCAGGCCTAACCGTGCTGGTCTTTCACGGGGGGCGGCCATAGGGGCGTACGGGGAGGGGATTGGGACGGGAGGGTGCGTTGCAGCATCGCTGATGCATCTTTGGTTTACCCTGGCCCTCCCCCTCCTCTTCCCTGCATACTTCCCTCCTTTCTTCCTCCTGTTCCCCCGCCTCCTCCTTCTCATCATCTTTCCCCTCCCCCCTCGTCCACCCACACTCACCTCTCATGCCTCGTCCCTTCTCCCTCACCCCTTCTTCTTACCGTCCCTTCCCTCTTGATCCTCATCTTATGCTCATCTCTCCCTTTCCTCCTCGTCTCTTCCTTCCCGTCCACTTCGTCTCCCTCCGCTCCCCTCCTCTTTCTATTGCAGGTTCCGCTCTCCAATTCTCATCGCCTTTCGCCTCCTCCTCCGAATCGTTCTCCGCCTTCCCTACTCCTCTTCCTTCCTCTTTCTCATCACCTCCTTCTCTTTTCCCTACTTCTCCTCCCCCTCATCGTTGTCACCGTCCTCCTTCTGTCCGTCCCTCTCTGTCTCTCTCCCTCTTTCTCTAATCCCGCCCGCCCTCCAGCTCCTCATCCTTTTACTTCTTCCCCTTCCCCCTCCTCTGGGCACTTCTATGCTACATGTTTCTCGTCCTCCGGAAAGTAAGTACGCTCGTCTGTTGATTCACACTTTAGCGAGCGCCTTGCGAATTCCTCCCAAACGTTATATCACATGGTGGGGGCTTTGTTTCACCTGAAGGTATTGCGAAACCCTCCCTCTGCCGCCCTCCTCCTCCCTCCCATCCCCCTTCGCTTTAGCACCGACCGTGGACAGCAGGGGATCACCACCGCGCGCGGGGGCTCGCCGAGGTGACCAGGGCAGCTCTCGACCAGGCCCCTGGAGCCTCGAGGAGCCGAGGCGGAGGACGATGACGAGGGTCGAAGGTCGAGACCCCTGGGGGGGGGACAGGTCATCTTTTGGGCCCTCGCCCACGTCCTCCTCCCCGCCATCGTTCTACTGGTGTTTTGGCTCTCGGTGCCACACTCTCGTCGCCACGGCTGGGCGCAGCCAGAACAACTGGCCAGGATGTAACCCAGGAGGGGTCAGAGCACCGGTTTTGAGCGGATCGTGATCGCCCCCCATATCCCAATACATACAATTCGCGACGGCAGATGTTTCTAATTGTTTGCGGGTCTGGCCATCATAGAGTTGCAGTGGTTGAAAACCAGCCCCGAGGAGAGGGCCGCGAGCTCCTTGGGGCCACGTCGAGAAAGATTTGTGACGCCGGATGTGTGGATACTCGTAGCATCCTAGGAGGAGGAGAATGGGGAGGAGGGCCCTCGAGGGAGGATTGGATCAACTCGGCTTGCAGGCAGTGGTTAGAATCTCAGCGCCGCACGGTGCTGCTCTTGGAGTCTCAAATATGGACTGCGACACATAATTCAATCTCGAGTAGCATTGTGAAGTTATAGAGCTGCCTGCTGGTGCAAGTCCCGCCACCGTGCCAGCCCAGAATTCTGGGTGACGACTGTCCGAGGGGCACGGGCGGCCGTCACGTATGACACCTCGTGCCCCCAGGCTTGGGAGAGCCGTGATGCGGATGATCAAGACTATTCATACGATGCTGAGGAAGATGAGGAGAAGGATGAGGAGGAGGAGGAGGAGGTGGAGGAGGAGGAGGAAAAGGAGGAGGAGGAGGAGGAGGAGAAGGAGGAGGATGAGCAGGAGGAGAGAGGGAACGGCTGTCACATGTGACACCTTTGGTGTTCTCTGCTTCAAGAGCTCTCATGGAGCTCATTTGGGTCGTCTTGCAGCTGTCTTGGTTGTGCTCCTGTGGGGCATTCTCGGGGATCCCTTGGGGCCATCTTGGGGCCCTCTTGGGCCGTCTCGGGGCCTCTGAGACCGTCTTGGGGCTCTCTTGGGCCGTATGGGGGGTGTCTTTGGCCTTGGTGGGGCCGTCTTGGCACCGTTTACGGCCGTCTCGTGTCTCTCTGGATGCCCTCGTGGGCCGCCTTGGGGCCGTCTTGGAGGCCTCTTGGGCCCTTGCGGGGTCCTCTTGGGCCATCTTGGGGCTCTCTTGGGAGCTTCTTGGGCAGTCTCTTGCGGGCATCTCCGAGGCTTCTTGGGCCGTCCTAAGATGACGGAAACCCGAAAAGGCGAATGCGACCATTTTTTGAACACTCGCGGGGAACCAATGATTTTGACTTCCTCGGACCCTGTTGGAGGTCCTCTTGTGGCCCTATTGGGCGCCCTTGAGGCACTTTGGGCCGTCTCGAGGCCATCCTGGGCCACCTTGGAGCCATCTTGGGCCGTCTTGAAGATGCCAAGATGCCTTGAACCATCCTGGCGGCCTTGGTTGCCTGTCTGAGCCGCCTAGGAAGCTCGGGAGCGCGGATCCATTGTTTTTTTGCTATGGATCGTGGCCCCGGGAGTGCACACCCAGTGTTTTTGTTGGTAGGAATCGTGGTCTCGGGAGGGGGCGCGGTGAATTCGATGGAACCCGCGCAGAGGGGGGGGTGCCCTTTGACGATAACAGAAACCCTACAAGGCGCCACTTGGTATTCTTCACGCCTCACCGTGCAAGGTGGCACGGTGGCGGATTTGATCAACGTTCCGCCAGGCCGCCGGGGACAGGAGGAGGAGGCGGAGGACACTGTGGAAGGAGAGTAGGACCAGGAGGAGGGGGAGTAGGAAAGAGCGGAGGAGGGGGTGAACTAGCAGGACACACACAAGATGATGATGGTACTGATGATGCTAATGATGAGGATGGTGATGATACTGATGCTGCTGATGATGTTGATAATGATGCTGCTGCTGATGATGATGAGGGTGATGATGACGATGACGATGATGATGATGATGATGATGATGATGCTGATGATGATGATGGTGATGATGATGATGATGATGAGGATGTTGTTGATGTTGATGAAGCTGATGATGATGCTGATGACGAGGATGATTGCGATGATGCTTGACGATGCATGATCGACGATGGGTGGTTCATGCTGTATGATTGGTGATTGATGATGACGCTGATGATGTTGTTGTTGATGATGATGGTGGTGGTGGTGGGGGTGGTGGAGGTGATACCGGTGGTGGTGTTGATGGGTTGGTGGTGGTGGTGGTGTGATGATGATGACGATGATGCTGCTGATGATGATGATGGTGATGATGATGGCGGTGGTGCTAGTGATGGTGATAGTGGTGGTGATGATGGTAGCGATGTTAATGCTGATAATGATGAGGATGCTGTTGATGATTATGCTGGTGATGGCGATGATAATGATGATGGTGATGATGGTGACGCTGAAGATGAATAATATGATGATGAAGATGATGATGGTGATGATGATGATGATGATGTTGATGATGATGCTGCTGCTGCTGATGATGATGATGATGATGATGATGATGATGATGACAACGAGTAGGACCAGGAGGAGGACCAGGAGGAGCGTGCCGCACCTGTGCCGGTCATCAACACGCTTCGACCGGTGTTCCGTGTGCAGGTTCAGCGGCTGCTGGGCAAGCCGTCCTCGAAGGCCCAGCGGATCGTCAAGGCCGCCCCTGTGCGGGGGAAGCGTAAGACTCGAGTGCGCTGGAACTCGGCTTTGTCTACGGTTTTTGACGACCGCGTTCTGGGTTTTAACGGTCCAGGTTTCGTTGGATGTCTGCAGCTGGAGCTCGCGTCAACTTTCAGACTGGGTCTCGTCATTTTCATGATGATCCCGTCAAGCCAACCCGAGTCCTCGGAACCCGAGTCTGACGTCTCCCCGACTGTGACGACGGCGGCGACGGCTGCGGCGGCAAGAGGACGGCGTGGGGCTGGGAAGTCTGCGGTATGACCCTGCCCGCGGCACCTGATCTCACCGAGCGCGTTCCACTACTCGCAAAGTGTCGCAAATGTCCAATCATCCTGGCGAAGGGCCCAACCATCTGCGGTTGCTGGTACCTCGTTGTGGGCTCCGCTTTCGGCGGAGGTCCTTATGGGGCCACGAAACGCGTGAGTGGTGTGCCGAAAATGGAGGCGGCGGTGCCATGCGAACCCTGCCACTGGGGCATTATGTGGAGCTCCCTATGCGGCGAAATTGGGCGGCGTGCCACGCGAACTTTCCCACTTGGGCATTCGGCGGAGCTCCCTATGGGGCCACGAAGCGTGTGAGGGGTGTGCCGAAATGGGGCGGTGGTGCCATGCGAACTTTCCCGCTGGGGCCTTCGGCGGAGCTCCCTATGGGGCCACAAAACGTGTGAGGTGTATACCGGAATGGAGGCGGCGGTGCCATGTCCCACAGGAGCCTTAGGTGGAGCTCCCTATGGGGCCACGAAGCGTGTGAGGGTGTGCCAAAATGGGGCGGTGGTGCCATGCGAACTTTCCCACTGGGGCCTTCGGCGGAGCTCCCTATGGGGCCACGAAGCGTCTGAGGATGTGCCGAAATGGAGGCGGCGGTGTCATGCGAACTTGCCCATTGGGGCCTTGGGTGGAGCGCCCTATGGGGCCGCAACACGTGTGAGGGGGTGTGCCGATATGATGGAAATGCGGTGAGCAGAGGCAGGGATGGAAGGAGGGAGGAGGAGGAAGGAAAGGAAAGGAGAGGAGAGGAGAGGAGAGGAGAGGAGAGGAGAGGAGAGGAGTGGACACGCGGGGCGCTGTCTCTTCAAAACGGGGGCCCAACACCACAGGATGGTTGGGAATAACATCTGATGTTCGATGCAATGGAGCGTTGTTTGTTTCGATGCAATGGATCCAGGCCATTTGCGAGTAGCTACTTTGCGAGTAGTGGAACGCGCTTGTCTGCGAACCATGGCCACATCCTATCCGTCGTCTTCTCCCTCCTGCTCAGTTTGTCGGCTCTGTTGGTACAGTCAACCCGCTGAGTAAGGATGAGCAACTTTCCAAGGTGACCCTTGCATCCTTCCCCGTCAGTTTATCCCTGGCCGCGCCCCGCCCGCAGAATGGCGACAGAGGTTTCCAAGGTCCTTCCAACCTGACCGCGCATCTTCATTATACGGGTTGACTGTAGGAAAGGGGGGGTGCGGTAGAAGTGAGCGTGGTGCCACTGCTGAATCTGGCGATTGGATATATCGTCCGTTCCCACGATTGGCATCACACCCCCTTATCCCACACTCCTTTCTGACCTCCAGATCTGCATGTCTGACCGTGCGGCCATGCCTGTATGTCTGTGTATGTACCTCTGTCTGCCTGTCCGAGCTGGCGATGTTATCTATCGTCGATAGCATAGCCATTCCCACGGTTGGTACCGCACCTCGATGCCACACCCCTTCTCCGAACTCCAGATCCGCATGTCTGACCGTGCGGCCATGCCTGCATGTCTGTGTCCGTCCGTCTGTCTGCCTGTCCGAGCCTCTAGCCATACTGTCGGACCGAGGTATAAGATCGAGGACGCTTCGGGGAGGGTGCCCTAATGTTCTTCGTGTTTGTTGGATGTTTTGTAGTGCCCCTGCATCGTTGCCACGCTGGAGCGGATTGTCCCGCCTCGCCGCCGACTGAAAAAGTTTGTTGGATGTTCTTGTGCAGCCTTGGGGAGGCACCCTTGGATGTTCTGCGTGTTTTGGGCTGCGGAGGGTCTCGTGTTCTTGAGAGATGTTCTTCTGGCCCAGGTCCGACTGCACCGTGTCCAACACGTCCGTGTCAACACGCTGCGGGTTGGCTCAGCGTGTCGGCCCACGTTTTGGCGAACGCATCCTGCCAGACCCACTTGCCCAGTCTCTCCGGGATGAGCTCCGCGCCAGCACGCCACGGGCTGCGTGCTGCGTGCCACGGGCGGCCGGGGCCAGCACGCCTTTTGGGAGCCCAGCGTGTCCCGGGTCCGCGTGCCCGCCCGTGCCGCCCGCCGCCCGGCCTTCGCTCTCTCTCTCTCTCGCTTCCCCGCGGCTCCCACGGGCGCCCCCGCCCCCGCCCCCGTCCGGCTCGCCCGCGGGGCCCCGACGGCTCTCGGGATGGCTTCGCGGCTGTCTGGAAGTGTGCGCGCTCGCTGTTTCTTTCCTCCGCGTGCCCCTCTCCCTGCTTCGCTCTGTCTCCCCCTTTTTTGCTCTCTCTCTCTCTCTCTCTCTCCCTCTCTTGCCTGACGTCGCCTGCCTGTTCTTTCCGTCTGCCTCTCTCCCCTTCTCTGCCTGCATTTCATTTCCATGACGCACGACTTCACACACATGAGCACGTGGGCGCACGCTCGACAGCATAGTAGTTACACGCGTCTCTCTCCTTCTCTCTCGCCCCCTTTCAAGGCAACCGGTCCCCCCTATCGAAGCTGCTGCGCTCAGCGAGAGATGGGGAGAGAGGCAGGGGAGCAAGAAGACAACACATGCACGGGGACATCGGTGCAAATATGCTTCTTCATGAACCAGTGCGCGCCTGTGCAGTGTAGCCAAGCACCTCGCTCTCGGTGCAAGGCGTGAGATGAGCGAGCCCCACCGGACATGTTTGACGCAGCAGTCGGGGAACGTGTTTAGTGCCAAGCGCGCGGCGTAAGCCGCTTGCTAATCCCAATCACGCAGCGTCATTGAAGTGCAAGCGGTAATCACGAACGAACATCGGCCGTTGGCCGTCGGGAAATCCGATTGTGGTGCGAACGTGTTCCAACGACGTTGCAGCCGTGTTGGCCGAAGTGCACTGGACAGACTGCATGTTGATGTGACCGCATCTTGACGCATGCATGGACGGGCGCGAAACCAGCCCGCCTCCCCACCCGGTGAAATGCAGAGTTGAAAGGGTCGAGAGGATGCGATGGTTGGGCATCTCTTGGGTGACATCATCGTGGTGATTCATCACGCAGCTTTGCATCGCGAGAGGGAGGTGGGGCGGGCGCTGCCAGCTTTGCGCTCGTCCATGTGCGACGAACCTTCAACCAAACTCACGGAGGCATGTCGTCATGTCTTATTTCGCCTGGTACTCGAGCGGCGCCGTCTTCTTTGCGGAACCACGCGGTTACGAACTCTAGCATCGGGCAAGTCTTGCAACTGTTCAGAACAACTTGCGTGCAGTATTGCCTGTGCGTTGCGTGCATGTATGGCACCAGGCATCGCGACATGGAGTGACCTTCCGTGACCTCAGCAAAATGGGTGCTCTATCTCTTTGGTGCCCAGGAAGCGAGAAAAGGGGGCGTCGATCTGTCAGAGAGCCCAAACCTTCTCTTCCTTTCTCCGGCCGAGGCGGCGGAGGAGGCGAGGCTTCCCGTGCCAGACACCATCACGGAGGACCACGTCGCTGAAGAGTTCAGGCGCCTCATCTTAGCTGACGGCACCGACTCGGTGCCCCGCCGCCGCCCATCCTCCTTGCTCTCTGGGCTGTGCCGATGGCACACTGACGCCTGCCGTGTGCCAGCTCCAAGCGCTCCGTGGCGGCACAGAGGGGGCATCAATCGTGTGCCGCCCATGCAGGCAGGAGGATCGTGCAGGGTACTGAGAAGGGATGGAGCACGGGGGAGGGCGGGAGAGGGAGGGAGGGAGGGGGAGAGGAGAAAATGGATGGTTGGGGTCCCATTCACTCCTGATGCCTGCTCCCCTCCCTCTTCCCGTCTCCCTCCGCCCTTCTCACTCCTCGCTCGACCCCCTCCCTCCTCTCGTCGTCTCCTCCTCCTCCTCCTCCTCCTCCTCCTCCTCCTCCTCCTCGTCCTCTTTCGCATCATCCCCTTCCTCCTTTTCTTCCTCCTCCTCCTCCTCCTCCTCCTCCTCCTCCACCACCTCTTCCTCCTCCTCCTCCACCTCCTCTTCCTCCTCCTCCTCCTCCTCCTCCTCCTCCCTCCTCTTGTCTCTCTCCTCCCCAGATCTCCGAAGCCATGCGTTTTGTTTGTTGTTACGGTTACGCACTAGCCGGCCGCTCTGCGGTTGATCAGGCGTTTCTGCTTATAGAAGAAAGGGCGCGTGCTTCTGGGCGAGAGGAGAATGAGCGGGAGGCGGTGGTGCCGCGGGTGAGGATCAGGAGGGTGGGGATCAGGAGGGCTCCTCCTCCTCCTCCTCCTCCTCCTCTCCTCCTCCTCCTCCATCCTCCTCCTCCTCTTCCTCCTCCTCCTCATCCTCCTCCTCCTCCTCCTCCTCCTCCTCCTCCTCCTCTCTCCTCCTCCTCCCCCTCCTCCTCTTCCTCCTCCTCCTCCTCCTCCTCGATCCTCCTCCTCCTCCTCCTCCTCCTCCTCCTCCTCCTCCTCCCTCCTCCTCCTCCTCCCCTCCTCCCTCCTCCTACCCTCCTCTATCCTCCAACGTCTTCCTCCCTGCTCATCCTCGTCATCGTCCTCGGGGGCGTCCCTCGGGGGGCGCCCAGACTGGGACACGCCTGGCCGCCTGGCGCGCTCCGGCGCGCCCTAGCGCGCGCTGGCAGATCCCCGGAAATGGTTCCTGGGGGCGCGGTGGGGCCTGACATTCTTGCGCTGGAGGCTCGGGGAGCCGGTTTTTCCCAACCATCCTGTGGTGTTGGGTCCTCGTTTTGAAGAGACGTCGCCCCGCGTTCTCTTCCTCCCGCCTCCTTCCTCCTCCCCCTCCTCCCTCCTCCCTGCGCTTCACCCACCCAGTATAGTATAGCGCTTCGTGGCCCCATGGGGAGCTCCACCGAAGGCCCCAGTGCTACCGCCCGCATGCGTCCCCCCCACCCAGTACAGCGCCTCGTGGCCCCATAGGGAGCTCCACCCAAGGCCCCAGCGCTACCGCCCGCATGCGTCCCCCCCCACCCAGTACAGAGCTTCCTGGCCCCATACGGAGCTCCACCGACGGCCCCAGTGCTACCGTCCGCATGCGTCCCCCAACCCAGTACAGCGTTTCACGGTCCCCTAGGGAGCTCCACCGAAGGCCCTAGTGCTACCGCCCGCATGCGTCCCCCCAACCCAGTACAGCGCCTCGTGGCCCAATAGAGGACTCCACCAAAGGTCCCAGTGCTACCGCCCGCATGCGTCCCCCCAACCCAGTACAGCGCTTCGTGGCCCCATAGAGTGCTCCACCGAAGGCCCCTGTGCTACCGTCCGCATGCGTCCCCCCACCCAGTACAGCGTGCCGTGGCCCCATAGAGAGCCCCACCGACGGCCCCAGTGCTACCGCCCGCATGCGCCCCCCCCACCCAGTATAGCGTCTCGTGGGCCTCCTAGGGAGCTCCACTGAAGGCCCCAGTGCTACCGCCCGCATGCGTCCCCCCCACCCCGTACAGCGCTCCGTGGCCACATAAGGAACTCCACCGAAGGCCCCAGTGCTACCGACCGCATGCGCCCCCCCACCTAGTACAGCGCCTCGTGCCCCCCTAGGGAGCTCCACCGAAGGCCCCAGTGCAACTGCCCGCATGCGTCCCCCCCACCCAGTACAGCGTTTCGTGGCCCCATAGGAAGCTCCACCGAAGGCCCCAGTGCTACCGCCCGCATGCGCCCCCCCCACCCAGTGCTGCGTTTCGTGGCCCCATTGGAGCTCCACCGACGGTTCCAGTGCTACCGCCCGAATGCGTCCACCCCACCCAGTACAGCGCTTCGTGGCACCATACGGAGTTCCGCCGACGGCCCCAGTGTTAGCACCCGCATGAATCCCCCCCCACCCAGTGCAGCGCCTCGTGACCCCATAGGGTGCTCCACCGAAGAAGATATCCACAATTGCGGTATTCACAGCTGCATATGGTTGGGTCCTTCGCCATAATAATTTTGGGATGTCCCACGCCGTGAGGGTGCCAGTTTGGAATTCGTCGCCGGCTTCCCCGGAATTTCCCACAAACGGAGCAAGGGGGCCTCTAAGGGCCTCCTTGGGGAGACTCGGGGGGTTGTTTTCTGAGGATACCCCACGCGAGGGCGCCAGTTTGGACTTCGTCGCCGGATTTCCGGGATTTCCCGGAGTCGGAGCAAGGGGGCCTCTCAGAGTCTCCTTGGGGAAGCTCGGGGGGCGAGTTTTCTGATGATGTCCCACGCGAGGGTGCTCGTTTGGAATTCGTCATCTCCGGATTTCCGCGAAAAGGAACAGGGGGGCGGTTGGCGGGCCCATCCTTCGCGCGCCAGGGGTCAGTTTGACGTGAGCTCTCAAGACAGTCTCCTTCAAATGATGTATCATGACGTGGGACCCAGGAGTTCCCCACCCCATCCCCGATTCAGGTTGCACCGTGGGCCAGGCTTCGATGGCCACGGGTCCGGCAAACGCCGCCCTGCCGCCGAGCTCGCGAACACACCTCGTGCCGCGGACCTTTTCGAGACGTCTTGTCGGGCCGCCCTGGAGAGCACCAGCGACGCGCCCATGGCCTCCGAATCAGCGCTTGGCCTGCTCGCTTGGAGAAGCTGGTGCCCGTGGGCACAGCGCGTGGCAACACGCCAGCCAACGACACCCTATCCCCTTCTGGTTCTACTCCGCTTCCCTTTCGGCTCTATTTCCTCATCACTCCTCCTCCCGCCCTTCCGTTTCCGCCTCCTCCTTCCTCCACCGCCTCCTCCTTTCTCTTGCTCCTGACTCCTCCACTTTCCCTATCCTCCTCTCTTCTCCCCTCTCGCTCTCCTTTCTCTTCCGCTTCCCCCCTTCGTAGCCGTCTCTTCCTGCCTCCTCTCCCCTCCTCCTCCTCCTCCTCCTCCTCCTCCTCCTCGTTCTCCTCCTCCTCCTCCTCCTCCTCCTCCTCCTCCTCTTCTGTCTACTTTAAGCTATGTGGGCCAGTTTTTCCAGTCCCCGCGTCCATCGCACGCCGTGAGCATTACATCTTCCACAAGATGCTAGGTCTGCCGCCGAACGCTTTCCGCAAGGTTGACCTCGCGATGGCGGATTGGTCGTCGCCACCTGTACTTCGCTCGCTACAGGTCATGCCTGTCGCCGCTGCCGCTCGGTCTGCATCACACACTCTGGCCGAGCTGTGGGAATCGCACTTCACTCTGCTCCGTGACACGGCGTCAGAGGAAAGTACAGGTCACTCTTTCCATCGCTGGTTGGACGGACTGTGGTCTCCCAGCTTCTGGGAGCAACGGCGCGCCATTGTGCAGTACTACGCCCAGCTGCGAGACGCGCAGCGCACCCTCCCATTCACACCAGCGATGATGCAAAACGCTCACCTCGCAGCGCAGGCGGACAAGGCCTTGGCGTTGGAAGCCCAACCGCCGCGCCGCCACCACTTCCAGGGAACCTTTGCTGCATCTCTCCGCAAGTCCGCATTCGCCTCGCCCTTCACAGTCACCCTCACAAAGCGGGTTGGCGCGTGGGGCTTACATATCGAACCCGAGCTTCTGTCCGAGCGGTGGGAGTCGCTCACCAATTCCTTGCGCAGCGTTCGTCCCAGCTGGCGCTGGGCAACACTCAAGACCCCGGTTGGCGGGTGGACGACCACCGCCCTCATGCACGTGCTCGCGCCACGCAGCCGCGTGTTCGACTGCTGCGAGCAGCCAGATGTCTGCCCTCGCCTTTTGAGCCTCCTCTGGTCCCCTGACCCTTCACCCATCATCAGCACGCTGACGAGCTGGGGGCTGGGTCCCTCAGCAGCCTACCCGCCTGTGCCGAGCGACCTGTCGCTCCAGGCCACCATGCGACGCGTCGCCCTCGCGTTCCACCTCTTATAACAAGTGCAGGACGGACACGGCCAGCCAGCCAAACGCGTTGATGGTTGCTGCCCGCGCTCCCGTCGTGCGCTAGCCATATTCCCCGCTAGCGCGCGGCGGCTGTGCCCCCTGAGGCCCAGGAGACACGCTCGCCTCAGGCTACCCGCACTCCTCCTCCTCCTCCTCCTCCTCCTCCTCCTCCTCCTCCTCCGCCTGCTGCCACTACTCGTCCTCGTTACTCATCTTCTTCCTTCATATTTCATATCCCATTCCTCCTTCCCCTCCTCATCCGTTACCCCACCCTCGTTCCTCTTACCCCTCCTCGTCTTTCTTCATCATCCCCCTTCTCCTCATCCTTCTTCGGCCGTAGCGAGTTTGGCTCAAGTTGTCAAGTTGCAGAGGTGAGTCCCGCTGTCCAGAGTGTTTCCGAAACGGCCCCACCGTGTGCTGCCAATGTGATTCGTCAACCTTGTGTGGTGGAAGACTCCAGCAACAGATCGCGATCCAAACGGCGCCATCGTCGCGACAGGAGCGTTGCAGTACGGCGTGCAATGATACATACGACCAGTATCAAGTCTCACGTTGCATGTGTTTGTCCAGTCGTTGGCAACGCAAACCCAGACATGCACATCAGTTCCAACTACATCGTTCGTTTAGAAGCAAGGTGGATGTCTTATTGCAGTGTCTTGGAAAGGGTGCTCCATCAGTGTATTTTGAGCCAACCACCTGGAAATATAGAACATATGTATGGTCACTGCTAGGTGTGTGGGAGCAGCTGCCAGAAAT